CATGGCAGGTTAAAAAAAAAGTAACCCTGAATCATACTAGATTAGCGTAAATGCATGTTAATGCGTTCAAAACAAGAAAAAAATTGTTTCCGGGTATTAATCTCTTGAATCACGGCGCTGAATATTGACGCAAAAATATTTCGGGCATCGCGCGCCCTTCCCGCGTCACGTGTAGGCATCTCGCATCTCTGATTGGTTGTTGCGTCTTAAGATGACTGAGCCGACGCGCGTTTAAACAATTTTTCTTTGTTCGATTTATCACACTTCACAGAGAATTGTCGCCAATGGCTACTTCTTTTTGTTGCAATATATAATACTTCACGGAGAATTGTCGCCTATGGCTTCTTGTTCTGTTTTACTCTTGGGTCATGGGCGCCGCCATATTGATTTGTGATATCATGGGTTGGCCATATTTTTTTTATTGATAAGGTGTAGTATTGATGCACAACTTTCTCTCTTTTCTTTTAACCTTGCGCTCTTGATTACTGTATGTTGATCTGTTTTAAGTGGCTGACTGAAGTTTTCAATCACTCTATCTTGTGTTAAGTGCTTGTGCCTTGAATAAATGAAGATGATGTTTGACACATATTATATTGACTGGGGTAGGTTTACAATATGAATAATCAATTTATCTACTTCTGTGCCGTTCTCCAGTAATTCAACTTTACTCGGTACGACAGTCCCGAGACCAGAGCCTATCCGGGAAGAACCAGAGAGAAGTGCGAAGGTGCAGAAGAAACGAGCGACTGTCGTGCGACACGAGAGCTCGAGAACGCAGAAGGACAGCAGTTCCACGCTGCAGGATCTCAGCCCCGAGGCAACCCACAGGACAGCCCAACCTCCCGCAACACCCGCGCAACCAAGTAGGTTTTACACACTACAGTGGTTGAAATACTTTTTTTCAATGTTCTGCAATATTTCAGAATGTCACAATACTGTTCTGCAATTTGGAAATACTTTCTGCATATATAAACTTTTTTTAAGCCCTGACTCAAACCCCTACAAAATTGCATGTTGGCACACATTTAACATGCAATTTGACAAATACATGCATAACTAGTAAATCAGTAGTAAACATACCAGCATGTGACTGCCTGAAGTGTTGCCTGAAGACTGGTTGTACCTAACCTGCAGACCACCACGATGATTCCAGTTGCTGCCAGCAGTGTTTAGTGAGTCTAACTTGCTGCTGTTGTGGTTCTGTATAACCCCCATGCAGACCCCCATGCTGAACCCAGTTGCTGCCAGCAGTGCTTAGTCAGTCTAACCTGCTGTTGTGTTGCAGGGTTTGAAGATGACCCAGACTCACCTGTTATAGTCAGCGTGGAACCTGCTACAAGAACTACCAGCAGGTGGGAGTCACATTTTTCAAACTTTCATTTTTTTCCAGATTCTGCATTTTATTGTAGTTTATCTGTCCTACATACAAAGAGTGGTACAGTTATTTAAAATTAATATGAATGCTTTGCTTTGTTGTCTGACACGTAGTATATCATACTGTATAAAGTCATCAGTTTGTGTAAATCTTGTTCTAGTAGTCTTTCCTTGTTCTTATAGATGTACAAAATGAAATATCACTCCTTTCCAGCTTTTAACTTTATCAAAGTTTATGCCCCATACGGTACTAAAAATAGTTTTTTCAAATTATATATTATTTAACCATAATTCGTGCAGTTGTCCTACTATTTGAAGTACTTCTCTGATGTTTATTTAACATTGTCTTATTATCATATTTCCTACAGGGTCATAGACTCACCGTTTGTTGCTGAAACCTGGGTGAAAGAATTGTAAGTTCATCATTTTTATCTTTTCTCTGCATTTGGAACCCTTCTTGTCTCCACTAGTATTGTAGAAAACATCGAGATTACACTTTCTGTACACTAATTGTACAAATTTAAAAGATTTGTCTAATAGAAGTAACAGAAGTCATGTAACATGTCATCCTTGTTTGTTTTCCTTCTGTAAGTTTAACTTTTCCTCTATTTTTCTTGGTTAGATTTCCTTTCCATTTCCTTGAGTATGTGTTCTGTCACTGTTCCTGTGTCTTTCTTGTGTTTCCCTGTCTATGATTGATATTTCCTGTTTGAACTAGGTTGGACTCCATCAATAGATCCCTTACTGACAGGTATTTTCATTGTCCTCAGTCCTTCAACATTGTCACTGCATCTGTGTTATGTGTGCTATGACTAACTCAAATGTCCCTTCCCCTCCACAAAAAGAAGAGCTGTGTTACCCCTTCTCTACTACTTTAAATTTAATGCTCAATGTTTTGACATATAATATGTAATGAGTGTTCCACTACACTACACTGTGTCTGTGTTATCTGTGCTATAACTAACTCAAGTATCCCTTCTCCTCCACAAAAATTAGAGCTGTGTTGTCTCTTCTCTACTACTTTAAATGACTCCATGCTCAAGTTAACTGTTTATACTCAATATTCTCTATTTAAGCTAATACATGATTGTTCCATTACACTACAGACTTGAAGCTGCCTTTCCCTTTCAATATCTTCTTAGTTTTGTGTTTTCTGTGCTATAACTAACTCAAGTGTCCCTTCCCCTCCACAAAAAGAAGAGCTGTGTTGCTTCTTCTCTACTACTTCAAATTTAATTGACTCCATGCTCAATGTTTAATACTCTTAATAAATGTTTTGCCATGTAATATGTAATGAGTGTTCCACTACACTATAGACTTAAAGCTACCTTTCCATTTCCTTATCTTCTTAGTTTCGTGTCTTATTCTTGGCAACACCCTAGGAGCTAACCTAATACGTAGTTCATGTGTTAATATAGAAATAATCATCTGTTTTCCATTCTTGTTGACAGTCACGAGAAATATGGCTCACAAGCGAGACACCGACAGAAACAAATTGAAGAGGAACGGATTAAAGCCAGAAAGTTGGAAGAAAGGGTGAGTTACATATATGTTAAGTTTGATTAGGCCAAACCCATTTTATCTCTTTGTTCTTGTGTCAACTCACCTTTTTGTAATGACTTGAAAAATGCCATTTGGGATATGAATGTATTGTATCATATATTATGGCACAGACATTTGACTTCATTATTTTTGACATAGACAGTAGTATAATTTGTCCATCATTTGTTGTACAATATCAACAGTATGTGGGTCTCAGACTCGCAATCTGCTATCCACTTTAAACAAATCCACGCGAAGGCCACTGTGTCAACCCTCCTCACTCAGGTGTAGGGACTGACACGGTCATCTTACTCGGAAAACCTGTATCTGTATATCTGTACATGAATCTGTATCTGATAGCAAATAAAGATCACGAGTGATTGCCATAAAAAATCAACAATGTAAACAACTGTTTATTGTCTCCCCGCTCAGAGAAAGAAGCGAGAGAAGACAATAGAAGAGCAGGTGAGTGAACGACTGTCCATCGCAGAGAAAACACCTGCAGTCATCGAAGACAAAATACCGCAGAAGGAAATCAGCTTCCCCAAGATTACAGATGTAAGTAGCACAAACTGTACCTGTTTTAATGATAGGGAAAAACTTGTGTGTGTAAATGTTTGTGTGTGTGTGCGCGCGCGCGCGTGTGTGTGTGCGTGCGTGTGAGTGAGTATGTGTGTGTAAACTGTTTAGTGTGTGTGTGCGCGCGCGTGTGTGTGTGTGCGTGTGTGCGATGTGAGTGAGTATGTGTGTGTAAATGTTTGTGTGTGTGCGCGCGCGCGTGTGTGTGTGTGCGTGTGTGCATGTGAGTGAGTATGTGTGTGTAAATGTTTGTGTGTGTGTGTGTGTGAGTAAATAACAATGTGTGTGCATGTCTGTGTATGTGTGTGTGCTTCCCAATACCTGATACAGCATTGCCAGATTTGTCAGCCAGACTAAAAGGGCAGCAAAGCACTGAAAAAAACAGTAACTCAAGCAACTTGATATGATTCCAAAACCATATCCTGTTGCTTGAGGAACTGTTTTTTGGAGAATCTTACTACCTGGATGTCTAACCTTCACCAACAGTAGCAAAACAGTATATGTAAGCCGTAAATAATTTCATCAGGGTGGTAAACAACTGAATAGCAAAGTTCTTTCTATCACAACCATTTATTTTTCCTGCTGATTGCCCTGATGAAGATGACAGAAGGTCATCGAAACGTTGGCTTGAAAAATAATGGTTGTGATAGAAAGAACTTTGCTATTCAGTATATGTGAGGGAGTGAAGTCTGCTATCTCTGACTGTTTCATGTGTTTACAGGAGATTCTGACTGTTCCATGTGTTTACAGGAGATGCAGGCAGAGATATCGCAGGCCTTACGCCCGTCTCCAGAGGGAGAGATCCTGGTCAAAGGTTACCGGCTGGAGATCTCTCGCAAAGACATGCACACACTCGCTGGCCTCAACTGGCTCAATGATGAAGTAAGCTCACTTCAGTCTGTTTTCCGAATTTAACGTCATTTTTCCCCAACTGGGGGTTAGACGTGCTTGCGCCAGGTACAAGTCTTTTTTGAAGCAAGATTTTTACGGCTGGATGCTCTTCCTAACGCCAACCCAAACCCTAGTAGGGCCCAGGAAACCCTCTAACTGAGGGGGGAAATGCGTGTTAAGTGCCTTTCCCAAGGGCACAACATCTGGGTGCATGTCCAGACATGTCTGGGTCCAACCCTGGGGATTGAAGCTGGGTCTTCTTGCTTGACAGTCGGACGCTCTATCCACTACACCACACAGACTGTGTTAAAGGCAATTTCAGGGCGGCAAGGCAAAAAGTATTCTGGATGAGTAAATCTATCTGATACTGACATTTACTGCCATTGCTTAGCACACCTACAACAAATGTTTTCATTTACATTGTTCTAAAACCTGTTTTCTGTTTCTTGCAGATTATCAATTTTTACATGAATATGATTATGGACAGAGGAAATGCTCAGGTGGGTGTACAGTTTGTTAGAATGAATTTTTTTGCTTCATAAATAGATATGAATAAATATGCAACTTTCAACATGGCAACAGCCATCTTTGCATATTTTTGGCATGCTGACCACTGTCAGAAAGCAAAAAAAAATTTTTTTTTTCCAAAATCAGGCGAAAATTAGTGCACCCGCTGATGTTATCCATAAAAATACTTGCTGTGGCCTTAGTTGTCTGACTGATATTACCTATTTCCCCCCAGGGTAACCTGAAGGTCCATATGTAACTGTAAAAGCTTGATGATATGTCACTTTATTTAGTTGACTAATGTTACTGTCCCTACAGCAAATACTGACAAGTTTTTGTGCTTAGTTGACTAATACTGTTGACCCTCCAGGGAAACCTGAAGGTCCACGCGTTCAACACGTTTTTCTACACGAAGCTGACCCAGCAGGGTCCGGGGTCTGTGATGAGGTGGACCAGGAAAGTCAGCCTGTTCTCCATGGACCTGGTGCTGGTGCCGGTCCACCTCGGGATGCACTGGTGCATGGCTGTAAGTCAAACAGAGATTTTCCTTCTTTCTGCATCCCTGCACTGGTACAGGTAATACCTGCACTGGTGCATGGCTGTAAGTCAAACAGACCCTTTACAGGGCTTATATAACTTTTTCTGGATCCATGTACTCACCAGGTAGTAGTCTCTTTATTGGCATAGCCGGTGTAACTGCCCCTTGACATAACACACGCGGTGTAGTGGCAGCTAGCTATATTACATGGCTGTAAGTGAAACATATCTTTTCTAGGGCTTCTAAAACTTTTTTCTGTATCCCTTTACTGGTGCAAGTATGTATGTATATGTCCTCCTTTGGTCAGTATTGGCCATGGTAAAAACCCTAATTGTGAACAGCCCTACAGCTTTGGCTATGCGTGGCTAAACAATTCCTATACAAGGATGGCACATAGGGTACATTTGTGAGCTGACTTAGGTATGTTGTAACCGAAAATTACTTGTGTTATATAAAGTATATAAAGTACCCCGGCAGACAAAAATACTTACACAGCCCCGATTTTACCTGCACTAACCTGCATATACAGGTGGTATTTCATTATTAGAATCTTTTTTGTCTTTTTAATGACCTGTTTTTGTTATTTCTCTGTTGTGTTCAGGTATTGGACATGAGAAACAAATGCATCAAATATTATGACTCCATGGGCGGAAAGAACAACAAAGGCATCAATGCTCTTCGGTGAGTAAACAGCAGTTTAATATTCAGCATTTGCAGTCTTTTACAAGGCAATGATATAGTTATAGTGTTCAGTGTTCACCGTTATTGTATCCACAACCATGCTACTTCTATGCTTGGAATGGTTAGGGTCAGGATCAGGCACGGTTCCTGATAGTCTCTGTTGTATCCAGAACTGTGCCTATCTAGTTCTGTACCTGAATGGGTTAGGGTTAGGATCAGGCACAGTTCTGCATAGTCTCTATTGTACCCAGAACTGTGCCTATCTAGCTCTGTGCCTAAATAGGTTAGGGTTAGGATCAGTCACGGTTCTGGATAGTCCCTGTGTATCCAAGAACTTAGAGTTGCCCCAGGAACGATTCCAGATCTCAGGGATTGGACTGACAGAAATATATAATTGTCTAAAAACATTTTTTTGGCTTTTTTTCTACTTTATCACTAGTGATTACCTCCAAGCAGAGCACAAAGACAAGAAAGGAAGCAACTTGGACTTGTCCGGTTGGACATCACAGTATCCAGAGGTGAGCCTGTTACTTCGCTTGCTTGCTGGTGTCTTTGTGAAAGTTTTCTTTGGTAAACCTTTGGGCCACACAGTTGAGCAATTTTTGTTTGATAAGAACATACAGAATGTTACATACTGCTTTCTCTGCTTAGCACTCAGCATCTATGAGAAAGAGTGTGGGGAGGTTAAACACACAACACTACCAGTGGACAAGCCCCCTGCTGTAGTGCTTACACAATTGTGTGGCCCAAGGGCTGCAGAAATGGAGATGGGCACCACCCCTACTCTATGCTATTGTGCTGATGTTTGTTGTTGTCTGTCCCACAGAACATCCCCCAACAGATGAACGGTAGCGACTGCGGAATGTTTGCCTGTAAATTCGCCGAGTACGCAAGTCGAGACGCACGCATTAACTTTGACCAGGTGGGTATCCTTCTTTGGTGTGATAGCAGGGCTAAAAATTGATAGTCTTTATCCTTTTTTTATTGTAGTAATAGTAGTACTTTTTAAGCTTCATTGACTTTCATTGTGTATTTGTGAAGTGTTTGGCAGTATACTATTACAATTACCAAACTTTCTTTACTACGATATTTCACTGTCTTGGACAAATGTACATGCAGTTTTAACACATTTTGAACCATCCTAGAATCTCACCATTTTTGTGAAGTGCGCATTTCTATATCCCAACTTTCTTGCTCAATTGCTGATAGGATATATCATTAGGTACAACAATGTCTAAGAAGTTCTGTATATTTTTTTTTCTTCCCAGACACACATGCCCTACTTCAGAAGAAGAATGGTGTGGGAGATACTCCACAAGAAGTTGGTATAGTAGCAGCGGTCCGCTTTGCAATCATCGTGTAAATGTTTGATAATTTCTACAGAAGTCATTACGGACAGTTGCTAATTATAACTGTCTTTCTCTCAATGCCATGCTGTAAGCCGGTTCATGGTTCAAATCGCAGATGCTTTGTTGGTAATTGTCAAAGTTGTAGGCACCTGACACGTAAACAAAATATGTCTGATCAAGCTTTGTCGAGACAAGAACTGTTAGCAAGTTTGGGGCCTTCAAATTTGACCCACCGCACGCGCAGCTGAAACTGTGAAGCGGCTTACTGTCCATCCGAGATTGTTGTACTGTGTAAAGGATCATGTATACATCAGCAGCCATGGCAACCATATTTGTACACAAACAATTGACATAGCAATGCTATAGGGGGATGAGAGCTTCCATTCTCCAATGGTTTGTCTGGTAAGGCCTAGGGGAAAAGTTGTGTTTCCTGTTTCCCGACTGACCCTAGAAATAAACTGCAGACCCTAGCCTTTTTTTGTTTGTGGACCCCCCTGCAAGGGACATAGATTTTTCGAGCTGATCAACCTTTTTATGATCTGACACCTGAGTGAGGAAGCATACAATCAGTTTTCCAACATTGAAACTTTAAGTATTCTCATGCACGTTTTTCTTTGTTAAACTGTATTGTATAAGTTGGATCAATAGAGATTGCCAAAGTCTAATGAATTAATAAAAAGAGAAAATAAAAAGATAATCCCTACCTACCAACCCTAATTTTTTCAGGACTGAAACAGGAAACACAACATTTTTCCTAGGCCTAAATGTAAATGAGAGAGAATTGTGAAATCCATGGAAAGTTGCAGGAAGTGCTCTGTTCAATCATATGTCAAGGAGTTGGACAAGAGAGTTATAAGTTATAATATATCTTCTACCTTAAAAACTCAACTTTGATTCTATATAGGTGTAACACAACAAGGTTCTGTTCAAATTCTGTAGGTTATTTTATGGGACAATCCTGGCAATGCCACTTACTAGTAACAGTGTGACTTTTAACCATACCAAAATCCACAGAACACACATGAACAACGTAACGCTACAAAGAGCATTGTGTGCTAGCCTCTTGTTCACATTGTGTTCTGTTGAATTTTGTACAATCATATCACAATTTAACACCAGCCTTTCTACAGTATCGTGATACAATCCAATCAGTTTATTGTGTCTCTCAATTCTGAATACAAATGCAAGCACCTGAAAAATTGTCCATACATACATGTATTTCATACACATTGATCATACTATCTGCCAAACATCTATCATACCTTCTTTCTAACGCAAATAGCAAAACTCAGACAAAATCACTGAAATCGCACTTTGTACAAGGTTCTCTGAAAACTGTGTGGAGCTTCTTGAAATTTGTCTCAGCTACGTGCCAGGAGAAAATGTTTGTACTTTTCCATCTTGACTGCCCCATAGTGTGGCATTGCCAACAGATATATAACGGATGTAGATAATTATAGGCAAACCATTGCTTCTTGCCATTGTATATAGTCTAACATGACACGAGCCTTTTTGGAAGGAAACGGCCACAATTTTTTTTCATACGTCCAAAGGCGAAAATTAATATTTTGTCCAAATGTTTACAGTAAGGATTATTGAATTGTTTATTAAGAAAAAAAGTGTGAAAATGTCATGAATGTTGACTTGGCTGTTGTCATTGCCTTCCAAATATGTGGATCTGTTTTATGTATATAGCAAACCTAGTAGCTGCCAAAACTGTGCTTTTTACTTACCTTCTAGAGTATTGCATAACTTTAGTATCATCATGGTGGTGAACATTTGAAATTCTCTGAATCACTAGTCAACAGTTTATTTAGTTGTCTCAATGTCATGAAATCATACTTGTACATATATAGGCAATTTCCATAGACAGCCATGCAAATTATTATATCACACTTGATAAAAATATCTACATAATTATGGATTACTTCATGTTAAGCAAAAGTTAGTAGATTATCAACATATGCTCTTGAAAAATTTTTTATTTTTTATTAATTCTTTATTTGATAGGGGCACTATAAGCTGATGCAAATTATTCAAGACATGCATTTTCAGGGACGTTTATTGAAGGTGTTTTTGTTTAATTTCACAAGTTTTGTTTCCTTGTGTTGGGTTAATAAGTTTCGTTAAAATTTGTTGATTAACATATCTAACAAGTTTCCTGACCTAAATTTTAAAAACTATGTGAGACTTTTTGTTCTTGAAAAAAAAGGACTTAAACTGGAAAAATTACATTGTTATGTTGTCTCTTCTTGGCTGTTAGAAAGTATTAGGCAACAAAAGTATGTGGCTTGTAATTATGTATGTATCATGTCTGTTTTTTGTTCCAAATGTACAGTTTACATATATATTCAACAGGATTCGGTTTCTTTACATACGAATGATGCCATAGTTAGTACTACGATGTATATGACAGGGAGACATGCCTTAGTGTGAATGTATTAAATACATGATGTTTTATGTACAGTGTGTTTACAAAAAGCCCCATGAACAAGACCTTAGGTATATCTTGTTCAGAAAAACAATCGCTGTATATAGAGATCTTTTGTGATGATATGTTGTCTACATTGGAATAAATCATTAAAACAGTGTTGGGTCTGTATCTGTATAGCCGGTATAACCACCCTTCGGCGTAACACACCAGTTTCTGTATCTGTATAGCCGGTATAACCGCCCTTCGGCGTAACACACCAGCTTCTGTATCTGTATAGCCGGTATAACCGCCCTTCGGCGTAACACACCAGCTTCTGTATCTGTATAGCCGGTATAACAAGGCTTCGGCGTAACACACCAGGTCATGTTGAATGAATCATTTTTTGTTCTGGAAAAAAGGCCCTACTTAAATACAAGGTGGTCTTGTGGTGAGAGTGCGTTAAGAATCTAAAGGTTCAGGGTTCGAATCCCCAACAGGCCCTCAGACACATTACACCTGTTTCCTTGGCCAAAATGAGTAGCTAGCTGTGGTTAGGGACCTTTTCTTGGATGGGTCCTAAAGCCATACTGGGATAGGTACCATGTTTGAGGAGAGCCATGCCTCTGTCTAGCATATGCATGTTTAAGAATCCACGTATTAACTATGGGTCCATCCTGGAGTGAATGGATCAAACCTTACAGTCAGGTCTTACTCAGCTTGTGCTTTACAGTACAAAACTATGCCTAAAGGCGTAAATTTTTCCTCTGTGCCTTCTTTCCATTGTGCACGGTCTTGGCAGTTTTAAGATTGAAATAGACATTCCCATGGTCCCAGTCGCTATTGCAAGAGAATATTGAATTGAATCGACCAGAAATTACTGCTGAATCAGCTGACAGCAGGTCTATTATGTTTCTCTTTTGTGTCACGAAACCGCCCACAATACGATATTGTTCCCGCGTTTTAGCCTGACATTTTATTGATACAGATGACCGCATATCTATGCTTACAACCGTCCAAAACAGATATTTCAAACTCGCGCTCACAATACACAATATAGACTGGGGCAGATACTATTGTCTATTGTTCTAATAGATAACCACCATGCGTGATTCGTATCAAAACAGCGTGCCCTGCTGACATTACATATTTATTGAGTATTGAGTGCGTCCTTAGAAACAAAATTAATACATTTTGTCCAACACGCGAAGCTCTTTGTTCATCCGTATCTGTTTGATAACTCATCTATTACCTGGATACATATCTACCAATCACAAGGCTCGTAACGTCTGACGCTAGCCAATCAGAATCCGCCTCAAACGCCACAAGTTCAACTACTCCTGCAACGTCAGATGACGTAACGTCATGTGATGCTTTTCAGCCAATCGCCATCGTGCATCTCTATATTGTGTATAACCCGGGCAACTGAGAATAACATCCATATATAACGGCATAGCGACTGAGAGATTTTCACATTCGTTGCTTGAGATTCATTGAAGTCAAAAGCGATCGGATCTTCTAGGATTTCGCTGCGTTTCTCTGCTCTAATCCGTGCCCACAAAAGAAGAATCAACCATGGTAAGTGTATCCATTCCTCTATTATGGGATAGTGACAATGGTTATTTAATAAGTGTGTTTCTTTTTGCTCTCTGTGATAGCGTTTTGCCTACGAATTTCTTTTTAATAATGAATATCTGGAAACAGATTTGGTAGGGAAGTGTGTTTTCATGTTACTCAATGTGATAGCTTCTTGCTTGCGAATTTAAAGCGATGTGAACATTTTAACGAATATCTTGATACAGTCAGTTCTCAAACCAGGAATTACGTCAAAATCGTTAAATTTGGTAGGGGAATAGCAATAGAATAATCTTTGACGAATATATCTGGAAACAATCAGTTCTTCAACCAGGAACCTTAAAATCGTAAAGTTTGGTAGGAAAATGGCTGTGTATCATCTGTGTCTTACACTCACGATGTTTCCTTTCTTTCTTTCTCTCCCAGCGTGAGTGTATCTCCGTGCATGTTGGCCAGGCGGGTTGTCAGATCGGTAACGCCTGCTGGGAGCTGTACTGTCTGGAACACGGGATCCAGCCGGACGGCCAGATGCCGAGCGACAAGACCATCGGCGGCGGGGACGACTCCTTCAACACGTTCTTCAGCGAGACCGGCGCCGGCAAGCACGTGCCCCGGGCCGTCTTCGTGGATCTGGAGCCTACTGTAGTCGGTAAGAGCGTATTCAAAGAACTTCTAGATCCTCTTCTTTCATTTTGAGGCAGTCGCCTTTAACTAGCTGAAGATTCTGCTGCCTTTTTGCGGCTAATACGAGATGGGGTACGCCAGGCCTCCATCCAGAAAAGTCGTGTAAAGTGCCTTTCCCAAGGGCATAAGATTGATGACATGGAACCCCGGGACATCTTGGTTCCGATCTGAACGCACTGCCGTTACGCCACACGACCCACGTACTTACTTACCATGGCCCTTCGTAGCTCGTTTGTATCATGCAGTTCAGTGTCACATCACAGATTGTCTAAGTAGGTGACTTTGGGTCTCCCCCTACCACTTTTCCCTCAGCAGTAGGATCCCAAAGAACAAGACGAAGTGCAAGAATTTCACAGTGTCTGATACAGTGACCAGCCAGCTTCATTCTGCGCTGTTGTATTTTCTTAAACAAAGATAAACCAATATTTTTATGGCCTGCTAACAATACCGTGATTATTCAAGGCTGTTACTTTGATATATGGCCATCCTTTGAATATTTCATGTTAGGTGCGGGCAGGTAGACAATCAAATCCCGGGAGTTTAGATTAGAACAATGAACGTTTTCGTTGATGTTCTTGTAACTTGGACACTGATGTCCAATTGAGTTATGTCGTCAACTAAATGTTGATTAGAATAAACCTCTTAATTTTTTTTACTTTTGTATAAGGGGGTTATTGCCAAGCTCTGAATAATGTGCATTTCGTAAACCTTTTGGTCAATGAATAAATATATCAATATAATCAATCAATCTACCTTCTTAGCTTGGTACTATGCATGTCAAGTTACAACTAGACTGTTCTGAACAATAAGTCCTCTAACGTTACCTGATGATAATATGATAATAGAAATACACCCTTTTATCGTATTAATCACGTTAGTAATTGTACGATCTTTCTTATGTAAATCATTGTTGATATATTGAATATGGGCCACGGAAAGTTCTACACATATGACGACGACTTTATCTTGGCACGTTCTGCATGTACACTACCTGCCAACTTCTCAACACGCAATTTTATCACTGTAAGATCTTGCAGCGTCGATGATTTTGATGACCATTGATACCGGCACATACAACGTGTCAAGTTAACTTGTCAATATTTTTTCAATCTCTAGCACACATGACGAATGTATCTTGGCTATTTCTGCCAATGTAATGCTCAGCGAGCAATGTCATCACAGTAAGACCTTGGTTCCAAAGCAACGTCGAAGATTTTGATGATCATAGATGTTCATCTACCCCCCAGACGAGGTCCGTACCGGCACGTACCGTCAGTTGTTCCACCCCGAGCAGCTGATTACGGGTAAGGAGGACGCCGCTAACAACTACGCCCGCGGCCACTACACCATCGGCAAGGAGATCGTGGATCTGGTCCTGGACCGCATCCGTAAGCTGGTGCGTATACTATAACATGCTTACTACATGTATACTATAACTGCTTCTCCTATTGGGTCAGTTAGTCCTCACTACTTGTGAGAAATTGGGCTGGTCTCAATCATGATGTTTCTGACTCAGGGAGAAGAGTTGTTGTTACAGTTCTATACCTCTAGCTCTATGCCTAGAAGTGGCCAAAAATGACCTTACATTGAGCGACACCGTTTTAAAAAAAAACATATTGAGTTTCTTCTGTTAGCTAGGCCACACCAAGTAATATTTATGGATGACGTCCTCTGGAGACCCTAAATCGAATGAGAGAGCGCGAAAACATCTTCCAATCTTGTGATTTGCGGCAATGCCGTGACTCTTTGGTCATAGTTACAGGAAGCGGAATTTCTTGTTTTTTCTTGTTGAGAACAGGCCTACATCAATGCGCGCACGGATGTCCTCCATAAAATATACTTGGTGTGGCCTTATATCTAAGGTTTTCTAAGGTTTTCTTCTTTTTTTTGGAGGTGTACCTTCCCAAGTTTCTTACTCCTGTGTAACACATTTTTTATCACAAATTTACGCATTTGTTGATTGAAAAGGCAGTGAATAATACATGTACCTGATACGTCGGACCGTTTGCAAAATTATATCCAGTTGCTTGAGTAACTGTTTTCTGGCGCAGCTGGCGTAACTATATCTGATGTTTTATTGCCCCCCCCCCCATGTGCAGGAGAACCCAAGAAACCTAAGGGTTTATCGAGTGGGTTCTTCTAAAATTCAATATATCTGATGTTTTATCCCCTCAGGCTGACCAGTGCACCGGTCTGCAGGGTTTCCTCATCTTCCACTCGTTCGGTGGCGGGACGGGGTCAGGGTTCACCTCCCTGCTCATGGAGCGTCTGTCTGTGGACTACGGCAAGAAGTCCAAGCTCGAGTTCTCCATCTACCCAGCCCCACAGGTACGCACATGTGTACTGATGTATTACATTAGGCCATGTTGATATTATTATAAGAAGTTTATTGCAAATTCGTGCCCGGGGGCTAATTGCAACTCATAAACAATATTGAAACAGATTATACAACAACTAATATCTACATAATGAAAAATAGGTGAATAAGACAATAGTTATGTCTAAACCTATGTCTGAAAGGTTTGACTTCTCTTTTGTAACCGCGTTGAAGACGTGAATCTCTTGTCTCCAATTTTCTATATACGTTTGTCATGTGTCTGTTATATCTTGACCTGTACCTAGCCCGTCGTGGCATGAATGTACAATAAAGGTATTTCATTTCATTTAACGAAACTATACTCTTGTAGACCATTATGGCTTTGTGAATGTGTGTCATAGTCTGACATATTTATTAGACCGGGTTATCTAAAGGTATAATGTTGTGTCGTCCAGGTGTCCACAGCAGTGGTGGAGCCCTACAACTCCATCCTGACCACCCACACCACCCTGGAGCACTCCGACTGTGCCTTCATGGTGGACAACGAGGCCATCTACGACATCTGCCGCCGGAACCTGGACATCGAGCGCCCGACCTACACCAACCTGAACCGTCTGATCGGCCAGATCGTCTCCTCCATCACCGCATCCCTCCGCTTCGACGGTGCCCTGAACGTGGATCTCACCGAGTTCCAGACCAACCTGGTGCCCTACCCGCGTATCCACTTCCCCCTGGCCACCTACGCTCCAGTCATCTCTGCAGAGAAGGCCTACCACGAGCAGCTGACGGTCGCTGAGATCACCAACGCCTGCTTCGAGCCCGCCAACCAGATGGTGAGGGGTTTTATCCTCTCAGCATTGAGTGCTGTCATGTTTCTTTATATTATTGACCAATTTCACACTTTCCATAATGCCTAGTAAAGAAGGGGATATACGTAATGCGACCGTGCGAGTAGGAGAGTCTTCGGTAGAAGGTAGAACGATAGAAGGTACGTCATTTTCTCTAATTCCAACAAAAAAGCAATCATGGCATGTGCTTTATACTAAATAAATAATTCAAAACAATAGTTGACCAAGTTTGTCGATAGTACTTGTTGGAAATATTACATCGAGGAAGGGGGAAGGGGTTGGTCTTGAATTATATCCGTGATCTTTACTAGGCATTATGGGAAGTGTGAAATTGGTCAATACTACCCCCCAAAGGGTTTAAAATGTTTTAAAAGTCTTCAGTCTCGAATTCTCCGAAATTTAAGATGTTCCACCACTCACTACAGTATAACATATTTCCCGCAGGTGAAGTGCGACCCTCGTCACGGGAAGTACATGGCCTGCTGCCTGCTGTACCGCGGTGATGTGGTGCCTAAAGATGTCAACGCTGCCATCGCCACCATCAAGACCAAGCGCACCATCCAGTTCGTCGACTGGTGCCCCACCGGCTTCAAGGTGCCTGATCTAATATTTATTTTGTTTTAAAGACAGCCAGGGTTGTCCAACTAGTTACAAGACTATTTTAAATGGCTAACCCCCGAAAACAAGGACAATATGCTACGTAGGATAAGGACAGGACAGTTCGTCGACTGGTGCCCACCGGCTTCAAGGTGCACGATCTAATAGCCTTAGTAACATAATGTCCAAGCAGATCCTACGATGGCAAGGCAGTACCCATTGGCCAGAGGAGTGTCCATTGGCCACCGAAGATCTGCTAGAAGTCGAAAAGTTCAAAGGCTATTAACATCTAGCTGTTGCATAATCAAAATGTGTTGGGTGGCCGATGGATACTGTCTGAATTATCGCTACGATCGTATTATGGTAGATAACTTCAGATCTAACGAATGTATAAGTGTTTATTACCGCCTTTTATTGTAATATGATGATACCAATATGATTATGTTTTATTTTAGAACAAGTTTTGCGTAAGATTGTATTGTACTGAATCAGCAATTCAGCCTTCGATCTGCGAGTAATTTAGATTTTAATAAACATAATTTCATCATCATCATCCAGGTCGGCATCAACTACCAGCCTCCCACCGTGGTGCCCGGCGGTGACCTGGCTAAGGTTCAGCGTGCCGTGTGCATGCTGAGCAACACCACCGCCATCGCTGAGGCCTGGGCCCGGCTGGACCACAAGTTCGACCTGATGTACGCCAAGCGCGCCTTCGTGCACTGGTAAGATCCCTTTTCTTAAATATCCTATTATCATACCGGTGCAATAGCTCAATTGGTAGAATGCTCACTTTGTAACTGGGAGGTCGCGAGTTCAAACCCCGGCCGGGTCATACCAAAGACTTAAAAAAAATGGTACACACTTCTTTCTCAGCTTAGCACTCAGCACATATGAGAAAGAGTGTGTGAAGGTCAAACACACAGCGGACTAGCCCCGTGTGTCGCCCAAGGGCTACAGAAATGGATATGGTCACCACCCTACGCTCTGCATAAGGGCACGGGAGACCTTTCCTTCCTTTCCTATTATCATACAGCCAAAATTGTTTGACCAGTCAGATGACCACATTCGGTACTAATATATGTGCACTAAGCTGCTTACCGGAAGATACATACTCGTAGAACTACTCATTTTTATGACTTTTCGGCCCTTTTACTTGCTTGGAAAGGTCTAATCTAACCACCCGGTGTGTTTTCAGGTACGTGGGTGAGGGGATGGAGGAGGGAGAGTTCTCCGAGGCACGCGAGGATCTGGCTGCGCTGGAGAAGGACTACGAGGAGGTTGGCGTCGACTCCATTGACGACCAATGCGAGGAGGAGGGGGAGGAGTATTAGATACTGCAAAACCCTTCCAGAGCCCTCATGCGACACATATAACACACAGTGTCACATGATTCTGCAAACTAAAAGGAAACACACAAGAGATGGAATGCATTAAACAAAGTTGTGAATGATGAGACCGTGTGTCATTTTTATTGGTGTTATAATTTAAGTAACACGAAATTAGCTTTCGCCCTATCTGAAGAACATTTACCCCTGAAAAGCGGTAGACTTCCAAGATTCAATACAAGCATATAGTGCATAGTACAACTATTACAACAACAGTACAACAAGGTATTTAGATATTTGCATGTCGAGTTCTATACAGTATATCTCAGATAGATAGATATACACACATGTACCTCTGACGTATGAATCTAGTCCAAAAACATAACTTTCAAGGCATCATAATACATACACAATAGATACACATACAAACCGAGGTATTTACATAGATATAATATAGTTTGTTACCTATATCCATTGACAACCAAATTTATATACCATTACCACGAACAATACAAATCTAAAACACAATCATGATCAAAAAGGGATGCATGTATTTGCGGAAATGAAGCCTTTATGTAGTAGACGTCACAAGTAAAAAAAAAAAAACTAAATACTTTTGCGGCGATGACGTGCTTTGTTAAAGGACTCTTCCATCCGTGATTTAGGTACCTTCATGCTAAAGGTTTTTGACCTGTGCACGCGAATTTGGCCTTCTTTATAATTAGTCATCCAAGCATCATCCTTTGACCTGGCAATGGGCATGTTTGCATACTGTGGGCATGGAATGTTCTGGTACCTTGGTTGAATTTTAAATGAAGCCTTGTACATAAGGTTAGCCTGCTCTCTGGTTGCATATACATGGGCAGTAGAAGGATTGTTATAGAACACCATTGCCTTGTCTCTCGAACATAAACCTCTCTGTGTTCTGCCGTATCTTCCCAGCAATGCTATACGCCTCTCTGATGCAGGTGTTCCGTAAGATGAAATGTCTGCATTTCTTGCCCTAACTCCATAATTCTGTGTAACTGCTGTACCTCTAGCGGCTGTGCCGTAAGAGGAAGGCTTACAACGTAACCGGTTTACTGTAGGAAGAGCCGAATCGGCTGCTGAAGCATTGAAAGATACACGGGCTACCTCATCGTCATGGCCTGACGACAGCGGCACCTGCAGTGCCAGAGGAAACGACAGGGGGCGCCCTGCGGTGTTTTCGTAGTTGTAGTAGTCATCTCCGATCTCCCAGTAGTGATGCAGAGATGCGGGCCGAGTGTTGTAATAGTTGTAGTAGTCCTCGGGAATCTGCCAGTAGGTTGTGGAAGTTTCAGGCGGTGAAGTGTCTTTGTTGTCGTACCTGTTGAATGTGTCAGTGTTTTCGTACCTGTTGTTACAGTAGTACTCGTCCGGAATTTCGCTGTACTGTAAACCCTGGTCATCACCTAAATACGAAACTCGCTGACTATAGCTAACACTATCGGAACCTGACGTGCCTTGCCTGATATTAACAGTGACAGCACGGCTGTTTCCCCCACCTATCATCCAGTGATTCACAGAGGCAATACTGAGGGGAGGCCCTAATGAGGCTTGGGCAACCTGTGCAGCTTGGTTACCCCGAGAACGGGCAACCTTTGCAGCGTGGTTACCCCTTGAACAGTAGCCCTTCGTTCTGATCGAAAAACATGCAGCAAACATCGCTACCACAGTAAATCCTACCAATGCTAACAGCGTGCGGAGACCCACGTGTAAGGATGTCCACTTATCCGGCTGGACCGGCACAGTTCTAGCTGTGTACGGAATCGTCTGATTCCCGATCTTAGGGTTTCTTGTGACTCCTGAAAACTCCTTTTGTTCGATTTCCTCTTGTTCTGTTTCCTGTTGTTCTGTTTTCTTTTGTTCTCCACAGGAGGTGCCTTCAGGCGGGTCAGACAGGGGCGAAGTGAAGACATGTCGGAATGTCTCCCCCCTGGCAGTGTTGACAAAACATTTCACATTCTTCGGTTCTTCACGGAAAAAGCCATTTGTGACGTTTTTACTGTAGCTATCGGTATAATTGTCATGTTCACCAGCTGTTATATCATGCAGAACGACTGCAACGTTCTGAGATTTGTTGGAGGGTTTGTCCGCACAAATAGGACCGATTCGCAGACTAGCGCCCTGATCCAAAGCGACGTTTACGCTACCTGCATCATACCAAGCATGTTTGCAAACGTCTGTGAAGTTTTTAACTTGTTTGTCTGGTTCTGAGTCGATGAATATCATCACCAACGGCAGGTCATATTCTGTTTTGCTTTTCGTCCCGAGGTTCAGAAAGTTGCACTTACCCATCGTCAGGTCAAGGTTTTGAAGAGCTAACTCCGGCGAGAAGTCGTGTTGCATTTGGACGTGATATTTCCTCATTTCATGCTCTTGAGTGATGCAGAAAAGTACTTCATTGACCGTCACTGCGATGCGGTGTTCAGAATAACGAGATTTTTTGTGATGAACACTCCAGCTCATCACCAGAGGAACCGAAACACCAACAGATAGCAATTTATTTCCACTGACTTTGAGGATTTCTAGTTTGTGCAGCTCCTTGACAGTTGCACTAGGCAGGTGATTCAATGCATTGCCGCTCAAGTCCAGGTGTACAAGCTCTAAGAGGGACTTAAATGCTCCTGGATGGATGCTTTGGATGAGATTTGATTTCAACGATAGATGGCCTAGACTCTCTAGTTTGTAAAACCAAGACGGCCCAATACTTTGCAATGAGTTATAATCGAGTAACAACACATTCAGGTTAATAAGTTGTTGGAAGCAGTTTGAATCTATGCTGCTGATGTTGTTGTGTGATAATGACAAACTTTTGAAAAATTCTGGGAACTTCAAAGCATTGAACCATTTTTGCTTTACGTGAGTCAAATGGTTGAAGTCGAGGTTTAAAATATGTAACTCGATAAACGTAGCCAGAGCGAACCCTTCTATATCTGTGATTCCACATTCAACCAGAGCAAGTGAGTGTGCTGTTGCCTGCCGAGGGAGACGTAATTTCTGTGCAGAGAGCAGCCCAAAGGAAAACCCTCTAACTGCCACATACATGTTGTTAGGAAGGCATGTTGAGTTTGTTTGAGACGAGTCTAGCACATGTTGCTGTATCTGCACGGAGCAGAGGATACATGTGACATACCGTCCGATAATCTTAATACCAAATGGCCTGGTACCTAACGATCTGGTATTAGGGACGCAATCTGACCACGATGTCGTGGTATGGCACCCAGGGAAACACGCCGGATCTAAACCTGCAGATATCACTTTGACCATGATAAGAACAATTACAATCTGCTGTGCTACTTTCTGCATCGTGGCTGTTTGTTTCGGATAATATGTATTTAAAAAAAACAAAGATTTTGGTTAAAATGTTCTCTAAAGTTTTAAAAGTAAACTGATCGCGTTTACTCTCCAAGCAGAGGTTCTTGTTTTAGCTTACTTTTGGCGTGTCTTTAAGCTTTTTTATCGCGCTTTCTTTTTTCCACTGGTGTATTTTTTTGACGTTGGCGTAAAAATATAGCGTGGATAGAGTAGATCTCGCCTGGAACAACTTGAATGGTGTCTTGCTGATTCTGATGAAGCGACGAAATGGTCTGTTGTCTTCCCTGAAAATAAAACATATCTGCATATGGTAGATACTCAACACAGGAAATTAGCTTATTCATCCCGAATCATCATGCCAAATATGACATGGTAATATGCCATGAAATAAAGAAAAAGAACACATGTCTAGCATCAACTAAGCTGCTATTCATTCAGCAAACATGAACTCAGCATTTCCAACATTTTGCAGCACGGTCTGTCGTATATGGTACACGATTTCACAATAACCAACAACTATAGGGGGCAGAGGCATACTCATGTAAAACAGTAAACATATCTGATATAAGGGTTTTCTTTTACACAACCAAATATTCCTACCTTGCTGACGTTTCGATGTCTATCAGACACCTTCCTCAGAGCTTCTGATTGGAGTTCTGCTTCTCGCTGCCATATGTAGCCGATGTAAGCAAGGTAGGAATATTTGGTTGTGTAAAAGAAAGCCCTTATATTCTATAATCTACCAAACCCGATGAAACTATTTTCGGAAGTAAACATATCTACACTGTCTTATCAATATTCACTGCACGTGTACAATAAGCATGTTGTACATTATTCATTATCATTTGGGTCTTTCCGGTCTGGCCTTTCTAAAAACAATTCGGGTACGCCCCACGGACAATTCATACTTTCTGCTTGAAAACCTCAGACTAAATATATAGAAAAAGGATCTCTCTATGAATATAGAAATTTCTACTTCCACAAGGCTATTATTTATTTACCACCCATGGCACACCTCGGACATGTTAAAGAACCCACCATACGAAAAGAGTAGGAATGCGTCACCCTGCAAGTGCATCACACTACACTCCGGTCTTACGCAGCTCGTACTTTTACAAACTGTGTTTAACGTACAAGAGGTTTACCGGTAACGCAAAACAGACAAAACTCTACTTACCGATGCTCCGACCTCGATCTTCAGTACAGTAACAGTACCGTACAGTCTGTTGAGCTGGACGGGGGAAAAGTATTAGAATCCAGAAGACAGTCAGCCCCAACAACGATAAACTACACACCAGGCTAACACCTGGGCAGAAATTATAGCCAGAAAGGCCAGGAATCGAACCCGTGACCTCTCGATCCGGTGCCCTCCTTTGCCACTCGACGACAGTTATTGAACTACCAACCTCATGCAACTCTTCACCAGTTCTTCGTAGATTTTTGTCCGTGAAGCTAGAACGAAATCACAGAACTCTGCCATACCTTTCCGCATGTACCAGAAACCCAGTTTCCTCCGTCGCTATGTCTGCTCACCTGGTCTGCGGATGAGCTGTATGTGGCGCGCGAGGTATTTAACTGACCGGAGGTTGATGAAATTCCATCGTGCAGTGTAATCTGTGTCATAATCCGTGTCATCTGATTTAAAATGCATTGTCTGGGGATGTGTATTGTTTTTTTTTTTCGATGGATGCCCCATGTATATTCTAGATGTTAGTTGACTACGCTATCTCTTGCAGATGCAACAATATGATTACACGCACAGAGTTAGAGAAATATCGTATGGCATGTTATGTCTTACAATAAACATGTTCTGTGGAATCAACTTACAAAGGAAAAAAAAAGAAAGCTCACAACTCTAATAGCTTTCAAAAACTCATGATATATTGTCCCAGAGATACATGAAAATAGCCTGGGTGCCATCAGTATGTATGTATGTATGTCTGTGTGTGACAGAAATAGTGTGAGTGAACCAAACTAGACAGAAATCAGTCCTCAGCCTAAGATCCTACAAGCAAAATGTTTATTACATACTTGAGAAGGACAAACTGCACTCCTGAAAATAAGATACAGAGACCACAGAAAAGAACAGCGAATTCCAGTTGTTGTAACACATTTCACAGTGCTTCATATCAACCATATTTCACGGGTGGACTAGTAGGGAAATGTAGATGCATTTTTTTCTCCAGAAACCAGTTTTCAAAACTGATTTAAATCTACTGAAAAAATTATTTTGTATTCAAGAATGGTGTCCCAGAAATTCGGACCATTGTTATTTTTTTAAAAAAGAACCAACCCCCACTTTTTACTAGTCCACCCCACTTTTGTGTCATGCCATATGTTACTGCCCATAATCTAATTTAAAACAACTTCACTTTTTCCTGATATTTCATTAATTTAATTCACACAAAATTTACTCCAAAGGAGAAAGCACAATATCATACTTTCAAAATATTTCAGCGATCTAAAACTAAGCAGTCTGCTATAGTATTCAACCTATGAAGACAAATTTGAAGTGACTTTCTCTATTACTTATTCCAGGAAAATTCTAGGTTTATTCAATAGAATTTCAGTTCGTGACTTCATGATGACCCACCTTACAGAAAACTCACTTCAAACTCCAAAAGTATCAAGGAACAAACCGATTAAAGAATTGATCAACCGAAAAGGTTTTGCTTAGCTAGCTGCCATTGTGGGTCCAGAGAAAAAGAAAGAAGCATGTCTACATGGCAAGACAATCAGTTCATTTCTGTACAGCAACAAGCCTGAAGACTAAAAAACAAGCCGTGGCAATAATTTACTAAAAGGAAAAGGTGCAAAAGGAAGTGGAGAACAAAACAAGTTGGCCCATTCCTTGAACACCTTGAGTTTGGATCATCTGTCCTCAGAGATAGAATACTTAAGAAAACCGCTTGATGAGGGTAAGAAGTAAGAAGCAGGGGCGGAAGAGAAGACGTCTCAGGGCCGGCATCATGAGGAGGTGGACTCCTTGAGGTAGGAGATGAGGTCTGCTCTCTCGCCCTTCTTCTTCAGCCCAGCGAAGACCATCTTAGTGCCCGGGATGTACTTCTTAGGGTTCTCCAAGTAGATCCACAGGGTGTCTTCAGCCCATGTAATTCCTGGGGAAAACAAAGTCATGTGTTATGCCAGGCTGTTTGAGTGTAGGTCTGTTATTTGGGCCCCATAAGGCCTGTGATTTAGCCCTTTAACTGTCTTCAAAATAGCACAGGGGTGCCTCTTTTTTTGGGGAAAACCTTTTTTTCTATTCTATTCTATTCTATATATATGATACTGGGCAAAGCCCTATCTAGGGCATCCCACTCAGGGTGACGCTTCATAAATCTTTGTTCTTTCTTAAGTCAAATTTTAATTTTCTCAAAGGGGAAAGATTGCTACCAAACCTGTCCCTTAATAATCAAGAAATAATGTCTCAGTTGGGAGAATACCAGACCCCCTGCTATGGTCTGTCGGGTCATGTTTGTGGCCTGACTTGCTGTGAAACAATTCTAGTTAGAACCCTGATATAAGACAGTCTAAGACATACCCTTGTTCTTGTTAGCGTCGGTGTAAGAGAAGCCAGGCGCCTGTCCCGTCTTGCGGCCGAACAGACCGTTGAGGTTGGGGCCGGTCTTGTGCTTGCCTCCTGCCTCCACTGTGTGGCACTGGGCACACTTCTGTACAAACACTTTCTTCCCCTTCTCAGGGTTCCCGTTCTTAACTGCATCGGCCATGGTGTAGGGTTCTGGAACAGGGAGGAAGTTTCACATTTATTCATTGAATGGTCATTTGTAAAAATTGATTAACTGGTTTAAATTAATGCGTTCATGACAAAAAATCCCCAAATCCGTCTTATTAAAAGCCATTTCAGACAACCTCAATAGGCAGTTTTCTCAAAAAGAATATACATGTATATTTCATTGACTGGATATTGAGTTAATAACCCTATGATAAATCTAGATGTAGGTTAGATCAATGACACTGTACATCAAGGACACTGCAAATAACTGTCCTTTTCAATGGGTTGGAAATACTGTATGATGAAAATTTGTCCTCAAAAGGTCATGTCAAAGGTCACAACCCTACACAGCTCAGATTACATCCACCATAACAACAGCTATGTTCTAAAATAGCAGGATTGTCAGACCCTGTCCTTCATCTAATAGAGGGTTTTCATTGACGTCATAATAATTATCATATGAATCCCGGTGACCAGGTGTTGGCGGGTAAATTGATTAAATAGCGGCATCTTCACATGTTTAACAGACATAGACTGTAATCCAACATGGCGGATGTGAAAAGCCTGTATAGTTATAATCCTAATGTGGCCTGAAGGCCAGGACTTTCCCACTACCCTTCCAAGGACTTTGCCCTCTTTTGCCCCAGTCTCCAAGCAGATGTTGGGAGGCAAACCTGTTACATTTTCCATTTAGCTGTCAGTCTCTGTCACAACCTGCCTCCATAGTATAAATTTGACAGAAACAGCTAGGAAAACGTTACAATTTTACCTCCTGACTTCTACTTGGTGACTCATCTTGTGCAACAACAGGCTCTTTGGCTGATGTTTTTTTTTAATCTTTGAATTTACCTTTTTTTGAGATACTATGATAGGTTACAGTTTGTCTAACTACTGATCTGATGGCTGTTAAGTGTCAACAAATATCTTCTCAGTATTTTTTTTAGTTACATAACATAGGCTACATAGTCAAGTTACCTATCACGCAAGGGAAAGCCAAAAAGGCTGCTATGAAAGTAAAGCGCCAACCGTAGAGCCTGCTACGAGGCTAACAAAGGGAAGGTACGCGGAAAGAGTCAGGTTGCGCAACCGCCGGCTTACGTACGTGTCCCGCCGGTGACTCAATTTCCGGTGCTTCTAGCCGCCTCTAACACGTTCCTAAACCAATTTTTACACCAAAATCAACCAATTTTTGCTAATAAATAGCTTTAATCTGGTTTCTTCTATACAATTCTAGGCACTCGTACGGAAAATAGTGCGTGTATGGTTAGAATTATCGCCTATTTTTCTGTGACACGCCGGTAAAAAAAGCCGGTACACGCGGGTTACGAAATTCCTTTTTGTAAGGTATTCCCCTTCGGTTACGTAACGCAAGTGATCTTCTAGTTACGCACAGGTATATTTTGACGATGATTTTAGCCTAAAAACGCACAATCTCGCTTGTAAGGGGATGAACCCGTGAACTTGCCTACCCTTGACGTTGTCCTCCCGCGCCCTCCCCCCTAAACGTGCCTTTACGTGTCCTGGATGACCTGAAAGATGGCGTCCGCTTCGAAAAGAACGCCAAACCTCTGAAAAAAAGCTATAAATTCTACCTCCTAATCCACAAAAACTACACAGAAATGTCCTCAACGTTGGCTTAGAAGTTACAATGATGTTGTAGTCGAATTTGGAGACTTACTTTTCGCTGAAAGCGGAGAAAGTTGAGTAAAACACGAGAGCAACCGGCGTCCTGACAGATCCCGTGCGGAAACTTCGTGAAGGTCAATCTGACCGTGCGCAGGCGCAGTACGACATGCCTTACAAAACGGCCCTGCGTCATGACTACGTCACTTCCGGGGCAATCCCGCATTCAAATGGCGGGAAATTCAAATATTGACTGATGACAACTGGAATCTTATAAGGCCTTATAATATAAGTAGGAATTTGGCTCAACTCAGGTTTCGCACGTGTTTTTGAGACACAGGGTTATGCATGGAAGTTTTTTTTTGAAAATGTAACATCTGTGTCCATAATATCACCAGGGTCCATAATATCGTCACCTTGAGAAACAGTGTTTACTGCAACATACCCTAGGTATGTACATTTGATGTGTGAAGGAGTGCATACCAAAAGTATGTTGCAGTAAAATATCTTTAAACACACTATTTCTCAAGGTGGTGATATTATGGACACAGATGTTATGTCGGCCCCCCAAATTTTTTGGTCATCCAATAAAAATCATTGCCACTTCCTCTAAATAATTTTGTTTGCTTTAATCTTCTTTACTTGGCCCCTCCGTACCATGTGGCTAAGAGAGTCAACACTAACACATTCTTTTCGCACGTTCTTTTGTTTGTTTATTTGTTTGTTTGTTTTTGGTACAATCATGTTTTATTGTCATATTGCTTTGTTGTGTTGTGTTTGACTTTCTCTGACTTACAATTTGAATTCGTATTTTTAGATTAATTCCAGCCATCGACTTAAACCAACAGTCATCTATCTGAGTAGAAACAATAATCAGCAAATCTGATTGTTGTGTAGCATTAGTGAGATAGACTTCGATATTGTAACACTATCCGGTGAATCAGGTGATCACGCGACAGGCGTGTGACCAATCAGCTGATGAGTTCAAAGGTCAACCTCGGTGAGTCAGTCCATGCATGTTCTTACTTTATTGTCAGGAAGCAAACGTTACTATCATGTTTTTGTGTGTTTACTAGCTCCTTATGCCGCGGACTTTGGCAGATAACTTTGTTGCTTGTTTGCGCCACTTCATATAGATTTTTGGCTGTACCAGAGGCCCAGTTTTGCTGCCACGAACGTTCTAAAATTTGGGTTTTGCTTGCGAGTTTCGAGTTGATACAAATTACAAGTTCCGGATTTCCGCGATTTTCGTGGGGTTATAACTATCCGAGGAGAGCAACTCTTGGCACTTTTATTGAAGCCGTTTTTATCGAGGTAAGTCATGTACTAGTATATGTTTGTTTGATGATTCGAGTTTTTACGTTACGTTTTATGTATCACCACTAACTGTTATATGTTGCCCCCCTCCCCACGTTTCTATCACAAGAGTATCAGATACAATAACTGAACTCACATGGTACAAATTGCCAAAATTATGTAGTGTCAAGTTAATTTGTTGTTTTTTAACTGATTGTTATGTGAGGTTTTGGACAATGTGCTTTAAGTAAAGGAACCGTTTCCAGTTTGTTCCTTTCTTTTGTTTAGCCAGTTTTGTATTTTTGTTGGCAAAAAAGATTTCCAAACGAAGTTTAGAGAAGGTTGACCTAGTTTCTGACAACTTGGTCGTGGTATAATTATAATAGCTTTTTTTAAATCATTTATCGTTTCTTGCAAGCTTGGATTATTACTAGTATTCCTTAAACCATGTGGTAGTTTAGCATGCGCAAACCAGAACAGAACCAGTGACAGGTGCACAGATTTAATCCCCCCCTGCTTACACTAACCTGTTGTTGTTGTTGCTAACCTCATGAATAATAATGAGTTGTGAGTGTTTCAAAGGCCTGGTATACCCAGGTGTATTCTATATAATGCAAAATAGGCAAATTTAACTTACAGCGTCAAGTCATATAATCTGCATAAAATGATGTCAGTTATCTTAAATAAAAGCCTTTACTGCTGTGGCCAGCACAACTTGGCCCGGCAGTTGGTTCCACTCACGTGGAAAAAAAGAAAACCTACCAGAGCAATCTTTACATACAGTGTTGAGTTGAATTTGAATTTGTGGCTACCTCTGGTTCTCCTCGGGGCAGTTTTGAGGTACCGGTATCTGTCACTCTAGGGATGTTTTTGACACCATGGACTATCATGTACAATTTAATTAGAGGGCATGTCGCCTCCTGACAGACAATGCGAGATGGTGTCAGAAGCGGGATATCTAATCTTGTCTGTCCCCCCCACAGTGCTAGTCATGGCATATGTCCTGTTCTCGGCGATGTCTGCTCTGTTCTGTGCCTTCCTGCTGCTGGTGACCTCACCGCCGACCTCTCACTCCAACGTTCAGACTGACATGGAGAAACTGGACGCTGTCGGGAAGGCCCTCCAGGACGGAAGGTAATACAACTGTTGCCATGCTCTTACTTAGTTATTCTAGGTTCCAAAGATCAGAGACATAGTCACTCTTATGATCAGAGGCGTAATCTAGAAGGGCACTGGTAATACAACAGTGTAAACTTTTGGTCATTCTAGGTTCTGAAAATCTGAGATATGTAACACATGTACAGAAATTCCTGAGTTTAAAGTGGCTCCCATGAGCCTTGTTTTGTGGTGACCGATGAAGTAAATGAAAAAGAAAAAATTATTATGGGTTCTGAAAAAAATTAAAAACACAAGAGTAGTAAGTAGACTAAGTACATTAATTTGTACAAGTCATACACGTACTAGTAAAATCCTAAAAATATGTTTTTGATTGCAATATTTCTCTACTACAAATGTACATATACGTGTATATGTACTAACTTGCTGGCATAAGTTAGACAGTTACTGCATTCCCTGAATGGTAGCCAGTATTTCCTGTTTGTGTTTTTACCAGTAATTTTCATTTTCTCTGCTTTAGCCTGTCAGACCCAGAGTTGGAAAGCGGTCTGAAGTGCAGTCTGTGTGAGATGGGCATGAGGGTGGTGCAGGACTTGTTTGTTAAAAACAAGTCACAGGTGAGATTTCAATCTGTGACACAGTATGACGAATAATTTTGTGACAACAATTACGGTAATTGTTGAATTAAAGTGACCAGGATGCAATTAACAGTGAATTAAAATGGTAATATCTATACTACTAGTACTACCCTCACGGACAACAGGCATGCAGACCCTCTTACAATTGCCCTGGAGAGATATCAGTGTTTGTATCGGATGTTAAGTTAACCATATAGCCCTAACCTGCATGTACCATTGTGCTTGTTTTCTTCAGGATGAAATTGCCTCTGTCATCACCAAGCTGTGCATCACGTTTAGAGTGGAAGACAAGACAGTATGTACCTACATCGTGAAGGAATTCAAGGTAAAAACCCGCATATGGAAATATACATTTTTGTACTGCACTTGTCGTATCCTTAACTAATAGATTCTTTTGTTTTTGGCTACACCTCAGGGGCATAACCTGCTTTCTGAAGTTAGGGGTAATTTTGAAATAGGCTAAATACACCTAGCGTATTCAGTTTTGTTACATCTAAGACACATAGTAGATGTAATACCCAGTTTCTTCTCACAGTGTTATTATCCAAGACACATCAGTGAACCAGTGCTTACAGAATTCTTGTCCTGTTCCACAGCATGAGATCCTGACAGTGATTGACAAGCTTGCGCTCAGTCCCAGTGAAGCGTGCGGGCTGATTGTGAGTGACTGCGGCAGCCCGTATGACCCGACTTCGTTCTGGAACATCACCCTCCCCAACACTCCTAAACCTCCGGTCACTCCACCCAAGCCTCCCAAGGTAACTATGGCAACAGTAGCTATGGCAACAGTATCTATGGCAACAGTATTTATGGCAACTGTAACTATGGCAGTAGTAGCACAGATTACAGGCTGACACACCAAACCTCTCATCACTCCACCCAAGCCTCCCAAGGTAACTATGGTAACAGTATCTATGGCAACAGTATCTATGGCAACCGTATCTATGGCAACAGTATCTATGGCAACAGTATCCATGTTTTTCCCCCCCTGTAGCCCGGTGCCCCAGTCAGTCGAGTGCTGTTCCTGTCTGATGTCCATGTGGACCTGCTGTACAAGCCTGGAGCTAACACAGACTGTGGGGAGCCTCTGTGCTGTAGGGCAAACAGCCCGGCTGGCAGTAAGTCTTTGAGATACTACATTTATGATCAAGATATCTAAATTATTTCTTTCTTGATCCATGCTAGACTATCAGGAATGCGATCGAAGAAGCAGAGCGGAGTTAGAACAGAATTGCTCATCTTTTCCCCAGGAAACAAAACTACATGTAATTTTTTTAAAAGTGGAATTTTCAATTCTTCAGATTACTATAACTTGTGGCTGTACCTTAAAAGCCTCTCTTAGGCCTTCTGGAACTTAGAATGTTTCCAAGTATAGAAGAGTTTGATATCATTGTATCAAACTGTTTGCACTAACATAATGATTACTTTGTGTTATGTTCAGAAGCAGGCCCCACGCCTGCAGGTAAGTGGGGAGACTACCGGTACTGTGACACTCCACTGTGGACCCTGGAGAACCTGCTACAACACCTCGCACAGGAACAGGTGCGACTGACCGGAAAATTTGTTTGTTTGTTTGTTCATTTTGTATAACAGGTAAACAGCCTTTCGTGGGTTCTGGTGATGTATCACTATCACTATCAGTTTTGTATGGTACATGTAAGTACAAGCAGCTCCAAACCAGACTGTAAGGTTTGAACCACTCACCTACTCTTATTGATTAGTGCAGTGGGATCTGTAATATGCCAATGAATCATTATGTGTGCTTGCAACCATATAGACTATGGCAATGTCAGCTGTTGATCTATATGTTCTACTGTAACACTGGTTATGATAAATTAAATAAATGCTGTTTAACTAGTTAAAGCACCATTTTTTAAATCTATCATGCACTATATCATGCTTTGAAAACAGTTTTCCTGTCACTAATTTAAAAGTGAAAGCTAGAAGTGTTACAAAACCAAATTTTGAAAACAGTTTAATCTTATAATTATCATTATTATGATGATTATGAAACACTAGTAAGCAGTATGCATATTTTTTTGTATGTTCCTACAGTCGCAGTTTGACTACGCAGTCTGGACAGGTGACGTCCCGCCACACGATGTGTGGAACCAGTCCCGGTCTGACCAGCTACACGTCCTGGACACTGTGTCAGCCATGATGCTGAAATACCTGCACATCCCCATCTACCCCGCACTGGGGAACCATGAAAGTGCACCTGTCGACAGGTAAGGTACTTAAAACAATACACACAACAGAAAGTTAGCTACTCTGGGGAGTTCTCGAGATGCAATCTGTCTCTTCATCAACCCGGTAAAGATCTAGTCTTGGAGTTCTCTTGTTAGATGAGATATTACCATGATCTATCTCACCCTCAGCAATCATAAAAGTGCACCTGTGGATAGGTGATATATTTTTTCCGTTTATTTTAAACGATACACACAACAGAAATTTACTAACTCTGTTGCAGGCAATAGGTTTCTTGACACTGACAGACAATTTTAATGCATGATAAATGAAACAAATGTGGCAAGAACTCTCTTAAACTTGGTGTACCAGTATGGGCAATTTTGGGGCTTGCTTCATACCCTGAATGATACACAGGTTTTACATGTAAGTGAGAAAAGTTAACATTTTAATGTTAAAAAGCTTAAAAGCGGCAAACCTAAGCACAATTACCCCCCCCCCTCCGGGTAGGTTTTAACATGTTTGTTCTTATTTTCCCAGTTTCCCGCCACCATTTATAACCGGTAAAGACTCCATCTCCTGGCTGTATGACGCTCTGGCACAGACATGGACACACTGGACACCCATCGGGACAAAGACCAACATTGAAAGGTACATTCTACAGAGATTTTTTGCTCATGACTACATAACTCATAAACCTGGTCTGGCTTTTGTTATGATCATTATGTTTTTCCGGTTAAGCATTATTTTTTGAAATCCAACTCACTCACTCACTATCCGATTTATCGTCTGTTGTTCCCTGTCTTTCAAGGGTTAGACATGCTTACAGCGTAATGCTTAGGCTTGATGGCAGCCCACCATTTGCCTCTATCCTGTGGGTTGATGTTATGCAGGTTTAATTTGCAGAAGTCCTCCCTTACATTGTCAATCCACTGTCTTCTTCTTTGGTCGACCACAAGGGTTTGGGCCTTCCACATGTATGTATGTATGTATGTATGTATGTAATACAATGTATGTAATATGTACATCCAGTGTGAGGATTGTCCAAGAACTGACAAATGAAATCAGTGTGGTCTAATCCTAATTTGCTATTTTTACAGAGGTGCGTTTTACTCTGTGCTGGTTCGCCCCGGCCTGAGGCTGATCTCCATCAACACAAACTACTGCAACACGCGGAACTGGTGGCTGCTGCTGAATACCACAGATCCCGCAGGCCAGCTGCAGTGGCTCGCAGGTCAGCTGCAGCAGGCAGAGGACATGGGGGAAAAGGTTGGTCTTTCTTTCTTTATTTCTTGAAACACGCGGAACTGGTGGCTGCTGCTGAACACCACAGATCCCGCAGGCCAGCTGCAGTGGCTCGCAGGACAGCTGCAGCAGGCAGAGGACACAGGGGAAAAGGTTAGACATATTTTAAATCTCCTTAGCTTGAAATATCACTTGCATATGCAGGTTAGTGAAGGCAAAATTGGAGCTGTGGATAAGTTTTTGATGTCTACATACAATGTAGCTGATGCCCATGAGAATCCACCCATGGAGAGAGGAGGCTTCCGTAGTGTTTTAAGTTTGTGGTTGCACAAATGTGGTGCAATGGAAGACATAACATGTTTTTTTATGTTGTGCAGAACTTTGGGTGAGAAGTACCAACATTAAAACATTACTGTAACTGTTTCAAGGTTTATACAGCCCACAATTGTATTTTTTATGAGCTTGTTGCTGGTCACATTTCAGGTACACATCATTGGACACATCCCACCTGGTACAGGGGACTGTATGAAGGCCTGGAGCTGGAACTACTACAAGATTATAGACAGGTTTGTTCTCATGATTATCAAGAATTAGGACTATAATTGCTTTTAACCAATTGACCACAAAATTAGACAACAGCCAGTGTAGAAGGCCAGAATGTAGCTGATATTCAGGCCAGGTGTGGGTATATTCTAGCCAGGTATGGGTATATTCTGGCCAGGTGTGAGTATATTCTGGTCTGCCACACCTGTAAATTTGTGGTCTTATTTGGTAAGGTACATGTAATACTAGTAACACTGTAAAATCTCCAGGTATGAAAGCACGGTGGCTGCCCAGTTCTTTGGACACACCCACCGTGACCACTTTGAGCTGTTCTACGACATGAAGAACCGCACCAGACCCACCAACATCGCGTACATCGGGCCGAGCGTCACGCCGTACCAGTATCTCAACCCCGGGTACAAGGTGTATGAGATAGATGGGAACTATACCGGCAGGTAAGATGGTCCTTTTCAGCCTTCTTTTGGCCTTGATACCTGATACTTGATTGAGAAAGTGACTGCAAAAGCAACTAGTCTTCCTGTTATTATGTCTACATTTGCAAATATATTGTTTTTGCTCAGTTTCTTCTTCTTCTGTTCCAAAAAAATAAGGTCAGTGACCTGGAGCAGATGTCTGCTACCATGGTAACTGGTACAGTAGCAGACACCCTGTGGTGTTGGGTTACATTATGTGGTAGGACAGAGTTGGAAAGGCTGCTCAACATGCGAATGTACTAGTACAAAACAGAGCTTAAAGTTTTAGTTTGTTAGGCTTGACCATGTGAAGGTAAACATTATGCATTTGCTTTGCAACTGTTATCTTTCTAGTCCTTTTTCTCTAAACCCTGTCCTGTCTTTCCTGCCCCCAGCTCCATGCAGGTTGTGAACCAGCAGACTTACATCATGAACCTGACAGATGCAAACCTCACCGACAAACCCAACTGGACACTGGAGTATGACACTAAGGTACAAAATGACTCAGTCCATCTATTCTTCTTTCAAAATTCAAATGTGTAAACTCTTTCCTCAGTGCAAAACTCTGACAGTATTTTGCCATGGCAGTCTGACTGCTAATGCTGATAGAGAGCTGACATAGATAACAAAATATATTGTCTGTGACAGGTTCTTTTGTAACTATTATTATAGTATTAAGACAAAAAAACATGGCACACAAACAAGTTAATTGTCTGTAATCCCCAGTTTTTCTCTTATTTCAACTGCACAAGTGCATGAGAAAGAGAATGATGAATCCAACTCTTTCCCTGTATTAACCCCCCCCCAGGAGGCTTATAACATGCAGTCGCAGACCCCTGCAGACTGGGACAGGTTTGTGCAGCGCCTGGAAAAAGACGACAAACTCTTCCAGCTATACTACAGGTTAGTCTTTTTAGAGCCACCAACAAGAAAACATTGTTGGAAAAAAGTTGAATGTCAGGACATACAGCAAGTAGTGGTGTGTGTTCAACTCTTATACTGAGTTTTTCATAAGTGCTGAGCATGCAAAGAAAGCATGGTATACTATACGTCGATGAAGGTTAGACATCCAGATATCAAGATACATTGTACGACAAAATCAGTTACTCAAGCAACTGGATATGATTTTGGAAATGGTCAGACATTTCAGGTAGCATCTTTCATCAGGGAGGGGGGCTACAGGTGGAACTCTCTGGCACTTGGAACCTAGTGCTCTAATCCATTGTTGATGAAATTGATGTCTATGATTGTACATCTTAGGTATTACTACAAGTCCAACCCGACCTAACCCTGTGATTGGTAATTGTTTTTTGATTGACATTTCAGGTATTACTACAAGTCGAACCCGACCGAGTCATGTGACCAGAAGTGCCGGGCCGCCCTGATCTGTGACCTGAAGACAGGTCGCAGCAACGACCCCAGCATGTGCCCTTTGACCTCCGAGGTCACGTGGCATGACCTTCAGAACTACCGGACAGCCAACAGGCTCTGCTGAGTTTAAAATTCTCAAGGACAAACTTTCCACAATTTTTTTAAATTTTAAAATAATATTTTAAGTAGTGTCATGTAGGATTATTTTTGACAATTCTTCTGCTGTTAAGTACTTAGTCTAGTGCCTTAAATTAAAACATATTGGAAAGATTGTGTTACTAGACAAAATGCATAGTTTTATAGATTTTAGCATCGTTTTTTTAGAATAACAGCTAGAAACTGTGCAATGAGTTTTTAATTCCTTGTAATGTCACACACTCCCATCACCAGATATATGCAATGTACTCTCAGTTACAAGTACTAACTTGAAGGTAGTACCGGGTATTTTGTTTGTTGACTTCTGGGTTCAACATTCAAAGTTGGAATAAAGGATTAAACAGCCTTCTCACTGTTAGAACAGGTAGAATGTTTACCAAAATGGACCAATTTGTTGTGGTCTAAAATTAATGTACCAGACTACAAGTATTGTACAGATGACTCACTGTTGTGCAATTAACTAAAGCTGCTAATTGACATTTTTTAAATAATTGTTGTTGTTGTTGTAACAGTTGTTGTGGAATGGGTCAGGATTTTTACATTTTACCTGTCAAGACATTTTGTATCTGGGATCTTGATTTTCATTATGATGTAATACATGTTTGGTTTTACAAAGAAGGAAATGGATTGTATAAAAGTATGGCAATGTATGTCTTCAGTGAAATCTACTTGAATGTACATATTTTAACTAGGTTACGGCAAATTTCTTGGAGTAATGGAATTTTAGGGAAAAGTACAACAATAGTGCAAAATAAAACTCAGTACTGAAAAAACAATGGGATTAAATGTAGAAGACAGTGGAAATGACGTTAGGAAGCCATTAGGGACAAAATACATGTATATTGTGGTAATTAATTCTTTGTGTTAAAAATGCTGCATATTCTTATCATTCTCCTATAATTCCTGTGTCACTTTCTTGACTCCAATATCTTGCCCTTGGATGTAACTTAATGTTTTCCAGTGTTGTATGTCGTACTATGTGGAAGTTACGTGTTCTTTTATCCTGTTTGCACTGCCATGGTTTCTGTTGTTTTAAAATGGAATAAAAGACGAGTCACTTCATTAAGCTTGAACTGTTGTATTCACAAATTTGGTTATCTACAAATGTAATGTGACAAGAAAAACATTAAAATGTAGAAACATGTAGCTACACAAAGTTTTTTTTAGTGTACAAGTCATGTTAACAGTAAAAACAGCTTAAAGAAAACAAATAGAATGTCATTGGAGTTAAACTTACATTGTAATACAAAGCAGTTTTAAAAAGTTGTTAAAAGCAACTTACAAGAAATAAAATCAATTTGTAGTAAGTTTACACATCCAATTCTGCATAAAAGACAACACAAAACCAGAGGTAGTCAGTAAGATGTTTCACCTTTTGGTTGCAAATGGAGGAAAACATTTTTCTCATGTTTGCATCTAGTATTGACTGTATCCTATTACAGTATTCTGCATTAACTGTTGAAACTACTTCATGGCCAGATTCTCAATTATATAAAAGTTAAAACTGCAACTTCCCACGTATTATTGATTTTTAAAACTGTTAACAGTATTATGTTACATAAAACCCCAAAGAATGTTGGGGTCTTATGCATCAAATGCAGAAAGTGGAATTATTTAAAAAATCACCTGACCAGAAAACTACAAAACATGTCAAAATGCACAACATAGTAAGAAGCGTAAATACGATGAATATACTGATCTTCAAGCAAATCCTATGGTGACAGGCAATAGGCATTGGCCAAGCAGCTTTGGTGGATAATGCCCACTGCTTTCATATACTAGTAGTTACTGCTATAGGATCTGCTTGGAGGTTAGAATATTACCAGGCCAAACAAAATCTACCTATTGCACAGAGGTGTACATTTGTAAATGTAAGCAGCATCTACTCTCCAAGCAGATTTTGGTTGGGAAGATTGTTACCTTTCTACTAAGCCCATTTTTTTCTGGTGGGGGTAGCGACAGAAAAAAGGGACATATACATAGAAAGGTATTAACAGTAACTATCTTCCCCACCAACCTCTGCTTGGAGAGTAAGATATCCTGCAGCAGTGTGTCTACCCCACGTTGCGGTTTCCGTTCTCGGTCTGTCTGCGGATGAGGTCTGCGTACATCCCTCCTCGTTTCTTCAGCTCTGCGTGCGTTCCCTGCTCCACGACTCGGCCCTTAGACATGACCACAATCACGTCTGCGTTCTCAATCGTGCTCAGTCTGGGAAGTTCAACGTGAAAAGAAACATGCTGGTTGTCAAAATTATATACAGATACAGAAGCTGGTGTGTTACACCGAAGGGTGGTTATACCGGCTATACAAATACAGAAGCTGGTGTGTTACACCGAAGGGTGGTTATACCGGGTATACAAAATACAGAAGCTGGTGTGTTACACCGAAGGGCGGTTATACCGGCTATACAGATACAGAAGCTGGTGTGTAAAGCAGAGGGGCGGTTATACCAGCTATACAGATACAGATCATTAAAGGAAATCTAAAAGAATCCTTCCCATGTAAATTTTAAGCCTATTTTACCTGTGAGCGATGATGAGGACAGTTCTCCCCTTCATCACTCTCTCCAGTGCTTCCTGTACCAGCCGTTCCGAGTCTGCATCCAGAGCACTCGTCGCCTCGTCGAGCACGAGAACTGACGGGTTCTTCAGCAAAGCGCGGGCGATAGCGATTCGCTGCTTCTGTCCACCTGAAACCGTCACGCCCCGCTCTCCGACAACTGTGCTGTAGCCGTCAGGGAAATCTGTAAGGTGGCAAATGGCCTTGTTAGAGTTGTTGACTCAGAATCAGAAGGTTCTGGGTTTGAATCCCTGGCAAGCCCAAGTGTATATACCTAGTGCCCTTGGGAAAGGCCTTATACAGCTATTTCCTCACTTGACTCAAGTGAAAGCTTCGGTTAAATTAGGGACATCCTCTTGGATAGGACATAAAGCAGAAGTCCCGTGTTTGAGCAGAGCCAAACCTCAACCACATTTAAGGTCCCACCATACTTAATGAAAAATCAAAACAGTAGGAGTCCTTCCTAGTATGAGTGGATCAAATCTTCGGTCTTATGCAGCTTATATTCACTATTATACAAAACTGAAAAGTTTCACAGCCTAAAGACTGGCAAAACAAAACAAACAAGCAACAAACCTCGGATGAAGCCGTCTGCGTTTGCCAGTTTGGCCGCTTCGTAAACCTCCCTGTCGGTGGCTGCAGGCTTGCCGTAACGGATGTTCTCCATGATGCTGGTGGCAAACAGGACAGGCTCCTGGGGGGACAGGAAATCTGAGGTTTCATTTTCAGACTTCTGGGAAGTATGTTGGGAATTTGTGCCCTTCAAATTCACCCCTTACCTGCCTGTCAATCTTCCCCACCCACATGCTGTCAACCATCCATCCATCCATCCATCCATCCATCCATCCATCCATCCATCCATCCATCCATCCATCCATCCATCCATCCATCCTCCCATACATACATACAATTGTCATACACACACACACACAGATGCACAGTCACACACACACACAGACACACACACACACACACACACAGACACACACACACACACACACACACACACACACACACACACACACACACACACACACACACACACACACACACACACACAGAGACACACACACACACCTACATCCATACCTGATGTATAAACCCGATGACCCTGCCCCTGAGCCATGTAGCGTCCATGTCCCTGATGTCATGCCCGTCCAGCCTGACACTTCCGCCCTCCACATCGTAGAACCGCTCCAGAAGGGCCGCCACAGTGGACTTCCCTGCACCGGACGTCCCACACAGGGCTACAACCTGGAACATCAACAAACTAGGGTCACTCTTTCAAGCTCGAATCCACGGATATCTTAGACCACGAAACCCACTGGTGGGAACGAGGAGTTAGAGAGGTACATGTAGGTACAACGCCACCCTCAACAGGCTACTGGTAGAACTCTTGGGCACTAATGATATTCGGAACTCCCAGCCCCAAGGACTGTGAGGCAACATTTATATAATAAGCTCCTCTTCTGAAACAACAGGAGCTTCTTGACTAATTTGCCTCATCCTTTGCATCTCAATCAATACATGTAGTTTGTGATCATAAGCCTGCTTTTCTGAAAACTCTTCAGTGTCACTGACGAAAGGTAGTGGATGCTACCTGTAGCCCCTCCCTGTTGTTGAGGATATCTCCTTCCCCAGAAATAAAAATTGTGGAACTGACACTGACCTTACACGGCGGCAGCTTGAGGTTAAAGTTGTCTAGCACCAGCTGGTCCGGTCGTGTTGGGTAGGAGAAACTCACGTCCTTAAACTCGACTGTACCAAACAGGCTGTGGAATGGAATCTTCCTGCCCCCTGTCCTGGGAATGGTAGGCTCCAGCTGCATGTACTCCAGCACTCGTGCACCTGTTTGACACAAAAATAGAACTGATTCACACATAATTTCAGCAGAAGTTTCACAAGTCAATTAAAAGAAATGTCATATTGAGACAAACACCTGGTATTGGTGTGATCATCACTAAGCCAAGTCTTGTGCACTTAGAAAGCCCACCACACTTCTTGTCAGTTTACCATCATTATGTTAGTGGTTCATGGTTCAGATTCAGATATTTTCCCGTTCCTGCAGCCTCTACAGTCTACCAGGCTTCAGAATCAGCTGGAAAGAGTATGCAAATTGGCAAAATAGACAGGGAATTGATCTGACTACTAAATGTGTGACAGGCTGAATAAAAGTTCTAATGCGGCTCCAGGTGTCTTACTGAGGGACAACTGCGTGTGCGAGATGTCGGTAGCTTGAGGAATGAATCCCCTACTATTTACTGATCTACTAAATGAGTATACTCAGTTTAGAGCTGCAGTTTATCCCTTCCAAATTTCCCTGGCATATTGTCGGTCTATTTGGCCATTTTCTACTCTTTCCAGCTACTTCTGAAGCCTGGTAGATGCCACTATACCTGCACTAACACCCCGTACAGCCTGCCCAAACAGTACGGAAACTGACGCGAGCGATCGCTGGATCATCTGTGCCGCCGCAAGGAACGACATCAGGTCTCCCGCCGACATGTCATTGGTCGAGAGGAGCAGCCCTCCGGAGAACAGGACGCCCAACACGACACCGTTCAGCACGAAGTTTGCCGCGCCTTGGAACACGCCGATTCCCAGACCCAGCAGCTCGTTCAGCCTTCCTGCCTTGTTCACCTCATCTGCATAAAGTCTGGGGAAAGACATAACTCAAGTTAGAAATCAGTTCATCAGTAGTTCTCAAGGAATTGAAAAATGGACTCATTGACTCAATCATACTCATCAACAATACCTTATTTTATGTTTAAAGTTAAAACTTTTGGTCCAACACAAGAAAGTTCTCTCACCTAGAGCTTTCGACCAGTCACTCTGGTCTTCCTCAGTAGACTGACCTTATTTTATTTACAGGAAAAATCACAGGCTCCAGATTTGAAGGAAATATAACATGGGAATTGTGATCAAAGTGTATCATCATGATATCAGCTCATTGGAATATAGAAAAGAATGCTTCACCTGGACTCCTTCTCCTCCATTGCAAAAGCTCGGACTGTCCTGATGTTTCCTAGAGCTTCATTAGCAACGGCTGTGCCCTTTGCAACCTGCAGGTAGGCAAAGTACATAACTTTTATATAGACAATGATTCAATCATTTACAGAATGTGCATGATATTAATTTGTTGTCATTTTGTTTCTTGGTAAAAAATTAATTTCAGTTTAATTTTTGTTTTCTCACCACCACCAATGTTTGCACTAGGGGCAATGACCCTTCTTCCTGGACGTTATACCCAATTAGGGGGAATTGTCCAGTATTTCATTAAGATTCTGAGGTAGAATTGAGAACAGCATTGCTAATCATATCAAAGATTTACTAGCAGGTGTTTTGCTGAAACTCTGAAGTTAGGAATGCAGACTCTGAGATATCTGTCAGGGATTGTTTCACTGACCTGTTCCTGTGCTGCTCGTGACAGTGCCCTGAGCCCAGACCCGATCATGGCTCCCCCCGCCACCACAGTGGGCATGACCAGCACCAGCAGGCCTGTCAACTTGGGGGAGATCAGGTACAGTGACACAAAACAACCTGTAACCTGGGGGGAAAAGATAAACACTTCAAACATTGCAAAGCAAAATATCTTGAAGTTAATGATAAATATCTTAACGTTAATGATATTAGATTCTAATACAATTTTGTTCATTTTTCTTGTACATCTGTTCTTTTTTGGGTCAGTCATTAACCAGATGAGTTGTACCTGAGTGTCCAGATCCTTGTACTGATCTGTTTCATTGCAAATAGATTCAAATAGAAATTAATAGAAATAAAATGTAGCACTACATGTATGTACATTTAACAATTAACAATATACCTCCTAACCACACTAATAACACGTAAGTTGAGAAACAACTTGATGCACTTGACATACCTGAGTAACACTACGAAGTCCCTGAGAAATACACAGCTTGAAGGAGCTCTTGAAGTCCTGTACATCTGAAGTTAACCTGAAACACACGATATATGATCACCATTTTGAAAGTGGATTCACAAATTTCACAAATTCATTGACCATTTTCTACTAAATTTCTATTGTCCTGTCCTTAAGTAAATTCAACATTTCAGTAGGAAACAGTGGAACGTACAAAAGACTGCAAGTAGACAATCTATCATAAGTAAAAGCAGCCACCTTAGGTAGGTTGTAACTTTAAAGTTTAAGCTTCTAAGAGTAATTTCTTGCATAATTTGCACCTGTCGACGAGCTGTCCTGTCATGTGACTGTCGAAGAACGCCATGTCCTGCTGCACCAGGTTTTCAAACAGGGCGATCCTCATGCGGGCTGCCATCCGCTCTCCTACAGCTGCTAACAGCCAGATGTAACCAAAGGACAGAACTCCCTGTACAACAACACAACATCACAGTTAACAGCAATCCTCATGCGGGCTGCCATCCTCTCCCCTACAGCTGCTAACAACCAGATGTAACCAAAGGACAGAACTCCCTGTACAACAACACAACATCACAGTTAACAGTGATCCTCATGCGAGCTGCCATCCTCTCTCCTACAGCTGCTAACAGCCAGATGTAACCAAAGGACAGAACTCCCTGTACAACAACACAACATCACAGTTAACAGCAATCCTCATGCGGGCTGCCATCCTCTCCCCTACAGCTGCTAACAACCAGATGTAACCAAAGGACAGAACTCCCTGTAGAATAAGATAACAGAAACTCAGCATAGTCTGGAAACACACGCACATGCACACACATACACACACACACACACACACACACACACACACACACATACACACTCACACACACTCACACACACACACACACCACACACACACAAATACACATGTACCCATGCACAAATACAAACACACACACACAAATACACACACACATACACACGTACACACACAGCGAGACACACAAAACACACACACACACACACAAACACACAAAACACACTCTCTTTCTCTCTTTTTCTCTCTCTCACTATAGTTCTGTTTGCCACTCTGACACAATGTTTACCACATTACCCAACATTACAGTAGTACATACTAACCTGTAGAGCGTAGACAGCCAGTAGTCTCGAAGCAGGAGGAATGATCATCTGTAGATAGTTCTGTTGCTGGTCTACCATTTACCACACATTACCCAACATTACTGTTACAGTAGTACTAACCTGTAGAGCGTAGACAGCCAGTAGTCTGGATGCGGGAGGAATGATCATCTGTAGATAGTTCTGTTGCTGGTCTGCCATACACTCTGACACGACGTTTACCACATTACCCAACATCAGGGGGATCTGGATGTTCAACAGGGCTGAGCCAAGAGCCAGCTGGAGAGAGGGAAAACAAAATTGTTCAAATGAAGCACTGTTGCTGGAAGAAGAGAGACAGATCTCCCCAAACCTAATTCACATTAAATTTTAATCTTTCAATGCCTTTCACTCCCTTTAACTGTTAGATGCAATCTTTAGAATAAAGGAACCAAGTGTTTTTATGCACCACCAAGTAGTTTGTGTCAGAACTGCAATTTGACGGCAAACTTATGATGCAATCATGAGGAAAAAATCTTTCCCTAACTTATAATTAGTACTGGTCACTGGTCAATGTACTGTGAATAAACACTATCAATAGCAATGTTACTGAGAATACAGAATAGTAGAACCACTAAGAAGAAAATTAATATTTGTGATGATTTTTGTTTATGTTATTTTTTAAAAATAGTTACATAGTAGTATATACAAGAACACAAACTTAATTAAGTATGATCGTTTATCATTGAATCGTTGCACTGTCTGAGCAACACAAAAATGCCCCTGAGTTGGTAACAATGCCAAAATCCACCTTTCTCCCTGACAGTCAACACAGCCACTGAAAACATGATTACACAAGACTATGAGTTGTTTGCTAGGACAAGGTACAATGTACATGTACACACATTGTGCACATTTTGTACATCCGTAAATTTTGTACTTAAACCTGGTGAGAAAAGTAACAAGGCTCTGAATCAGTACAGCTTAATATGAAAGTTTGGATTTTAAACTTTAAGGTAAGTCAAGATCAGATTCTCTTCCATTAGGGCAAAAGCAACACAATTGACATTGTGTACTTTTTACTGAATGTGTACACAGTATAAGAAATTCAAATACTATAGGCAGGCAGTTGTTCTCTCACAAATTTCTCACCAAAACTAACAATGTTTCGTACAGATCTAGAGACTATTTGTTCCATAATACATATTTACCATGATGATTGAACTTAAACATCTGAATTTGTTCCATTTTCAGACACAGTACAACATGGCTAGGAAGTGGCCAGACCTGCTGATTTTCCTTCTCATCATCCTGAAGGAGCCCAACATGCCAGAAGCGTATGATTACTGTGGCTGTTCATCCACTTCATCCTGTACCTGTGTCGGCCTGGGCCTCACCAGCATCCCTCAGAACCTACAACCTTCTATCAACAGTCTGGACTTGACAAACAATTGGATCACAACTTTGAGTCAGCCACAGTTGTCAAGGTATAGGAGCTTGAGGACTTTAAACCTGGTAGGGAATCACATCTCGGTGATAAACAATCGAGCATTTTACTACCAGACCAGCCTGAACAGTTTGGACCTTCAGCGGAACCAGTTGACAAGCCTACGAGCTGATATGTTTGAGGGACTGAGTAACCTGGAGACGCTTGATCTGTACTACAATGGCATTAGGAGTTTGGAGGCAGGAACCTTCAGTCCAACTCCACAACTGCAAACCCTCAATCTGTCTGCAAACAACCTCACATCACTCCCACCAGGTCTCTTTGATGGTCTGAATCAACTACAGACATTAAATATTTATGAAAATTACATCAAAATCATCCCACCAAACATTTTTAAGACTCTTCAGCGACTTCGTTACTTAAATCTTTATTCTAATAAGATCAGCATCATTCCAACTGAAGCGTTTGTAGGTCTACCCCAGATTGAAGAACTGTACCTGAACTCAAACCGTATAACCAACATTCAAACTGGTACAGTCTCAAATCTTCCCCAACTCAAGGTTCTACGACTGGACTATAATAAGCTCCACACTATCAGCCCTGGTGCATTCACTGGCCTGGCAAAGTTACAACAGCTTCGACTACAGAACAACCAACTAACAAGCGTTTCCTTCATTGGACAGTATGATTTTCTAGAGCTCACCATTCTGTACATGAATAACAACAACATCACACACATTCAAGATCATGCATTCTCCAACCAACCTAAACTGTCAACTGTTCATCTGCACAGGAACAAAATTTCATCTATTTCAGCAGCAGCCTTCAGAGGGATGGCTTACCTTGCTGCACTCCATCTCCATGAAAACTACCTGCAGCAGCTTCCTGACTATCTGTTTCTTGGGTTGTCCAACCTGCGTGATCTTAGGCTGAACAACAACGCCATCTCTCACATTTCCTCAAACACCTTCACTGGTGTATCCAGCCTGCGTCTGTCACTGTCGGACAACCGTGTCAGAACTTTTCCGCATGAAGCTTTGTCAAAGATTTCCTCGATTTCTGCTCTTTACCTTTGGAACAACCGACTGCAGTTTCTTCCCTTGTCTGCACACGCTATGCTCTCATCTATCACGACTGTAAACATTGCCCACAACCCCTGGCACTGTGACTGTAGGATGGTTCCCTTCAGGCAAGCAATGACTGGATCACACTCGTTTGATGACCAAATCATTTGTGAAGAACCCAGCGATTTTCTCGGACAAAAACTCAAAGATGTCAACCCCACAGATTTGACCTGCAAGGGGCCAAGCATTGTAAGGTTTGTGAGAGGTGACAATATACCATTGGAACTGGGAGAGACTCTCAGTTTGGTGTGTGAAGCTTCAGGAACCCCCAAACCAGACATCACAGTCATTCTCCCATCTGGACTGAACGCAACTGTTGAGTCAGTTGGGAGGGTGACTGTTGACACAAATGGCACAGTAACCGTAACAGATCTTACGACAGAAGATGCCGACTCGTACACCTGTATTGCAGCGAGTGCCGGTGGGACCACCTTTGCCGAACTGTCTGTTACAATCACGGAGGAACCACCTCCTACAACTTACTCCCCGGGTGCTATAGCTGGCTGCTTTTTCGGAACATTACTTGGCACTATCTTCATTGGTGGCATCGTTTTTACAATCTGGTACAAGAAGCCCAATATTGTAGGAATCAATTAGCTGAATGAATGTGAAGCAAGGTTCAGACTCCAGAGGTAATGAATGTACAGTCACAATCACTAATTGTTAAGCTAATAATTACAGTCACTAAAAGTGTAATAGGTTTCTCCGTCTTTCTGCAGTGCAGTTTCTTTATTACTGAGGTGATACATTATTTTGCCTTGATATGAAGCCAAGCCAAGAATTTTCTAGACATTATGTAACATTTATCTTATGCATAATTATAGCAGATACTTAATATTAAAGAGATTTAGAAGTGTTGAGATAACAATTGAGAATGGTTAAGATAGCACTAGTAAGTGTACAACATTTGGCCACGTGGCATGTTTTCTGAATTGTATTGCAGCGAGTGCTGCTGGGACCACCTTTGCCGAACTGTCTGTTACAATCACGGAGGAACCACCTCCTACAACTTACTCCCCGGGTGCTATAGCCGGCTGCTTTTTCGGAACATTACTTGGCACTGTCTTTGTTGGCGGCATTGTTTTCACAATCAGGTGATGCAAGAAAAATACCAGAAACACTGTAGAAACACACCGTAGCCCCAAGTGGAGCAACCAATGGTCCAGTAGTGATTGAGTATTTATAGCAGATAGTACATAACATAATTAATATGATGCCAAGTCAGTATTATTTCTGATGCTAAAATTATGTCATTGAGCAAATGCAGCTGTACAGAAAATGCTAATACCACAGAGAAAGGAAAATCATAATTATCAAATACATGTATCATAGACTATTGCCCCGTCCCCCAGCCAGGGTGTCGACAGATGATAATGATGATCATAGACTAAGGTCTTAACAGTCAGACTTCTGGTGAAACAACTATCAACACTTCAAAACACATGGCTTGTGGTTGGTTGTGGTTAAGCTATATATAATACTGTTGGGGACCAATGCAGAACCTAACCATTTATATTCCTCATTAATTGTAACATAGACTCTGAGCTGAGTACTTAACTTCTACCTTTAAAAATTATGAACTTACTGACCATGTAATGTAGTGGTTATACTAGCTGATGATGATTTTGAACACATACAAATTAAATGTATGCAAAAAAAGTACAATGTAGTTTGAGTGTCTCTGTTTGTTGTTCTAGAAAAAAGGACTCTGATAAGACTGAACAAAAATGAAAGTGACGTCACTCAAGCTGAAGAAAATATTAACCTTCAAGCAGTAGGTAGGTAGGTAGTAGTCAAGACGACCATACAATGTACAAATACACTGTACAAATTTTGTCAGGACTGGTGGTCAAGGTACATGTATAACTCATGTGATCTGTGGCGCAGTAAGAATTAGCCCACACTGTCAACTGTCTCCGTCCACAAAACAACTCCCTCGCAGAAAACTCCCTCACAGACTGTGACTTCTGGACATCCCATCCAACTTAAACTCAGGAATCGACTTAAAAGGTAACACAGGACAGTATCAATATTATTACCAGGCTAGGCAGTTAAGGCATCATTCTGGTTATGTTAACTCTCATAATTCTGTCCAGTCTACCAAAAATGCCACAATCATCGAAAAATGGCCAAAGGCCTTCTTAGGTAGCCTGGGTACCATCCGGATTTTCGCTGCGCAACGCTTGAAAAAATCACGTGATTTTTTCAAGCGTTGCGTAGCAAAAATCCGGATGGTACCCAGGCTACTTCTTAGGAATGTCTAACTTGAAAACAGAAAGTACTGGCAACAAAACTTCACATGCTGCACCTCGGAAGAGGACAAGTAAAGAAAAAGAAGAAGAAGAAGAACTTGAAAACCTGAATATTTGAAGTATATCTGGCAGGCATGCCTCAATGATTACCAATTTGAAAGCTACATTCAGAAGATCTCTTAAAATTCCATTTTAATCTTAGTGTGCTCTTTTATTTGTTGTAATCATGGATGAGGATGAAATTTTATGTCATACTACCTTAAGTTGTAACTTTACACACAAAATGCCAGAACAAATTCTGTCTAAAAAAAAATTAGTCTTAGAACACATCTCAGTCCTTTTTCTTATCTACTAGACTAAATGTAGGTTTTTCTTTTTTTCCTTAGGAGGAACTGTCGTGCCTTGGAAAAGACAGAACTTCCCTTTTTGGATTTTCGAGAAACTTACTTCCTTGTGAACAACATGTAAGTTTCTATAATTATGATTGCACAATATGTTACAAACTAATATTATATCTACTGTGAGACAGTCACTGTAAAATTGGCAAATAATATAAAGAGTGCAAAATACATAGTGGGTAATTTACATGATGTATTAAAATTATGCACTTTTGTGTGTACCCAATTTGTGTCTGTGGGTACACCTGGATCACATTATATGATTTGTGAAGCATCACATGTAATATCACCATTGATTATATTTTATTAAGTACCATAATGTGCAGTAGTACAATGTATATGGAATCCTTAATTAATATCAAGGTGTCAGAAATTTTCCTTACAACAACTTATTTCACGACATCAATGTGTAACTTGAAAAGCACATAGTACCCTGTTTGTGTACACTGCCCCCTGTGATGTTTGCTAAAAGGGTGGAACGCTTTCAGCCCTTTATCTATACTTGACCCTACATCGATGGATTTAGAAAAATTAATGATTTCAGAACTGCAAGACACTTTTGTTTACTTGCATGTGGAAAGACTCCAAATGTTGTAGATGGATTTCTTATTTCATTAATTTCATGATTAACAATGACTAATTTTATTTCTTTACAAATAAGCAAACTTTAGTCTTCAATCACTCTTCAAACTCATTGCAGTGTTGTTAAAGTACCTGCCTACAGAGTAGCAGACCTACAAGTCCAATTGTCTGGCACCAGAATCCAAGCAGACTCTATCTTCAAAGTAAAAGGATTGTCCAAAAGGCAAGTTTGGCTAATGAGATGTGACTACACAATCATGCGATACGTTCACAGTGTGCTAATGAAAAGTCTAGAAATATTTGACTGCAAAATAGCTTTTACAATATCGTTTTTTAGTCTCAGTCTGTGCAGTTTGTGCTCAAAAAAGCAAAATATGTCAGACTCTCTGCCTGAAAAGTTATTTACAGGTTTATATTATAAGCAAAAATCATTGATCAATATGCAAATCAGTGAAGACTTTGGCCCCGTTCCCACTAGGATAAAATTGATCTGGTTCAATTGAGCTCGGAGCAGCATGTGTGGCTTGAAACTAGATGAAAGCAAATCAATTTGACTCAATCCAGATGATTTTATCCTAATGGGAAATGGGCCAAATTGTTAGACTCTATAACCAGTGATCGTGATTCCATCAGAATCACTTGGAATCAATTATAGGTCCCGGGTTTGAGTCCTGCCATGCCACCGATCTTGTGCCCTTGGGAAAGACACTTAACTGACTTTCCTTGATCACTTACATATTGTAACTCAAGTGAAAATGAGTATTGTCTGTCCAATATCCCTTTCTATGTGCGGGACACAACATCAGCAACAACTGCCTCTGTTCTGCATGTATTGAATTGTTGCGATTTCAATAAAATCAAAAATTAAATCAAATCATGGTAACGTCGTCTAAATTTGCAGAATTTTGTTTGTTTCATTCTTTCTACTTCTAATATACTTTCCAGGTGACAGTAACATCACAACATGGCTAGAAAGCTGCCAGGCATGCTGATTTTCCTTCTCATCATCCTGAAGGAGTTTCACATGCCAGAGGCTTACTGCAGCTGCTCATCCACCTCATACTGTAACTGTAACAACCGGGGACTCACATACATGCCTCAGAATCTTCGCCCGTCCATCAGGACCCTATTACTGAGTGATAATCGAATTACAACATTAGATCAGGCAGGTTTGTCAAGGTATAGAAGCTTAACATCTTTAGACTTACACAAGAATCAAATCTCAATAATAAGTGACCAGGCCTTTTACTACCAGACGAGTATAACCAGTTTAAACCTTCAGCAGAACCAGTTGCCTGGCCTTCAAGCTGCCATGTTTGTGGGACTTAGTAACCTACAAACCCTTCACCTGCAGAACAACTACATCAGTAGTATAGAAGCAGAAACCTTCAGTCAAACTCAACAGTTACAAACTCTGTACCTACATGGAAACAAGCTAACATCTATTCTACATAGTGCCTTTGCCAATCTACCCATGCTCCAAACACTGTACCTGCAATCAAATCACATAACCAGCATTCACTCTGATGCATTTTTCAATCTGCCACAACTCCAGAACTTACGCCTAGATGACAACAACCTGCACACAATCAGTCCTGGCTCATTCAGTGGAGTGGGCAACTTACGGCAATTGCAGCTACAAAACAACATTCTGAATGACATTCCAACGGTTCAGTATCACTTTCTAGAACTAACAACCCTATACCTGAACAACAACAGTATCACACACATCCCTGGTCATGCATTCTCCAACCAACCCAAACTGTCCACTCTTCACCTCCACGAAAACAGAATTCACACTCTCTCCCTAACAGCTTTCACACAACTTGCTCAACTCAGTACACTCTATCTCTATGACAATGCTCTTGAGGTGATCCCTGAACATCTGTTTGCTGGCTTGTCCAACCTTCGTGATCTCAGGCTGCAAAACAATGCCATTTCTCATGTTTTCCTCAACAGTTTCACAGGCATCTCTAGTCTCTCTTACTTCTATTTGTCTAACAATGGTCTTAAGTCCTTTCCTGTTGCAGCTTTGCTGAAGATTCCATCTATTGACAGGCTTGACATTCAGAACAACCACATACAGACACTTCCATTGACAGCTTACAACAAACTGGCATCGATTTCTACAGTAAACATTGACAACAACCCCTGGCAGTGTGACTGTAGGATGGTTCCCTTCAGGCAAAAGATGACTGGATCACGCCCATTTGAAAACCAAATCACTTGTGAAGAACCAAGCAACCATCTTGGGCAGAAGCTAAAAGATATCAGTCCAGAAGCTCTGATCTGTGCAGAGCCAACCATTGTGAGGTTTGAAAGGATTGATAATTACCCATTGGTGCAGGGATACACTCTGCATCTGGTGTGTGAACCTTCAGGCATCCCCACACCAGACATCACAGTCATTCTCCCATCTGGACTGAACGCAACCGTTGAATCAGTTGGGAGGGTGACTGTAGGTATGGATGGTACCATCACCATAACAGACCTTACTGCAGCTGATGCTGGTCTTTATGTCTGCTTTGCAGCAAATCCTGCTGGCTCAACAGTTTCTGTGCTGTCTGTTGCACATGTTACAATGCTTACCACACCTACTGCTCACACTGTCACTCCCTTTACATCCAATATTACAAATGGCTCTCTACCTACATGTACAGAGCATCCAGAATCTGCTTCTTGGTACACCATGGCTGACATCATCGGCGCTGTTTTTGGAACAGCAGCTTGCCTTGTCATCATTGGTGTCATCCTCATAATCTGGTACAAGAGGAGGACAGACAGTCTTCCCCCAGTGCAAAACTCAACAGTAATTGGCAACATAGGCACAAGATGTACAACCTCCTCCACTAATGACTATTCACTCCGTAGTGATCGTTCTGTAGGCTCAATATCTACTACATCCTCCTCATTGATAACCAATGCAAATTCATTCCGTAGTGATCATTCCCCATGGCCATCGGGAGAGTTTGATAACGAATCAGTGTATCAAAGAGTATCTGATATCTCTGGACAGCCTCATGCCACACCTCCTAAAAGCTGCAAGTAAGGTTACATGAGCTAACAAGAGCTCGATGACCTAATTCCTTCATCATGCACTAGTTTGGGTTGTTAGAAATGTGCCACTGTATAATATAGTTTGACTTTTGACCAGTGTATTTTGGTTTGTGAACCAAAGTATGTGAGTGTCCACAAAATTGAATCTTCACGCCTGGCGCCATCTAACCTTATAAACATCTGCCCCCCCCCCCCCAAACTGTGAACATCTGTTTGAAATCCCGGTACTTCCAATACCCAAAGTGCTTTCATCTAGCCTACATTCAAAGCTACATGTTGAACTTAAAATTGCCTCTGCAATACCTTAGAATGCCACTACTAGATTGGCCAATTTTGAACTTAATGTTCTTTTCCACACTACAAGCTCCCTGCAAAGACCTGTAGAAAAAAAAACATCCACAACATCAAAAATTACCCCGTCTAGTCACATTCCATCACATAAGTAACCACAACAGCTCCAAAAAAGAAGCTATTTCACTTAAACCAACACCAGATACTTACTACCGGAACATCTATGTCCCACTCAAAAATGAAGACCTTAGCATGTCCACAGCACAAGATATCATACCCTTATACCCCACTGCAGTACCTTACAAAACCACTAGAGTGTCCAAACTTGACATTTACCTTTTTTTCCCACCCTCATCCTACCTACCAAACATCATAAAGATACATGCACCACAACCCAAGCTATAACCAATTACAAAATCAGCAGCCCCTATGTATGGTGTGCCTGAACACATACATGTAACTTTCTGACAAAGGTAATAATCTATGATACTTATGACATCTTGACTGAAGAAAGTATATAAGGGAAGCACCTTGCTTTGTTGTTTCTTGAAGTTGGTAATTTGGTTTATACACAAATCTATAATGCATGGTGACTAAGATAATGAAATTACGTTTCCAATTAGAATCCGGCCATGGCCATGTCTAACCTATCATTTAAGAAGCTTCTGAAGCAACAGTGTTGACCTCCTGACCTTGGCTTGGTTTATCGACTTTGACTCATGGTACACGATTCTGTTTTGATGCTTGGTTATGTATGTATGATTGTTTATGTGTTGATTTCACTGTTTTCATGTTTCACTTGTTATTACACAGGGCATGCCTGAAAAGCAGTGTGTTTAGCAGCCTGTATAACTACTTAAAGTAATACAGAAATACATGAGAAAGCTTACTGTAGTGATTTCTTCACAGTGTAAAGTGTTAAGTAGTACATGTATTTCCAAATCCTGAAGTCATTCATCACCTTTTGTGATTATGTTGTGAGTTTGTAGAAAAGTGATTTTTACTTCTGCATGGAGTATTCATAAATGCTGATGTTGTACATTTACTAGTAATTGCTAGTGATTATTAATTAATTTCTGCTGAAAGTGCTAGTTTGTTTATTGTTAGTAATAGTTCATGGTTATAGTTACATTGTATTAAAGAGTGATTGCCATCAGTAGTTTAGGATGGAGGTAGCATTTTAAATGCAGAAAAATGTATGTTTAACTTTTTCCTGAATGATATTAAGTTTGTTTACAAAAAAGTGAGTTTACTTATAGTTTGTGGTGGAGGGAATACATGTATTTCCAAATGGAAAATTTGTAACGCTTATATTGCATACAAAAAAAGTTATTTTATCAATGTCACTGATGTCATTTCAATCAGATGACTCAGTTTTACTAAATCTTCAATTTGCATTGTCACAATAATTAATTGGAAAGTAAAGTTCTGACTAACAATTCATGATAGAATGATGTATCCAAAATAGAAGCTAACAGCATTTCTTAGAATTCTGTGAGAAGAACAAAATGCAATAAAAAGGAATATAAAGATTAAAAAATTGCTTCTTTTTCCACTTATTCTATAACAAAGATTCCACTGAAAAGTGATTATACCGATAATGGCAGACTTATGCTAGCCTGGAGTCCAGCCTTGTTAGCTTTTTACCTTGGGGAGTGGACCAAAGCTAACAAGGCTGGACTCCAGGCTAGACTTATGCCATAGTCAGCATCAATACTTACCACAATAGCAGCCAGCAGTTGCCAGATCTCCGGCTGCAGGAACTCCCAGATGAGGGACCAGTCCAGCTCCTGTTCCTCCCTCACCTCCTGATCCCCCAACAGATCCTCCTGATCCCCCAACAGACCCTCTGATAGTGTCTCCTCCTCCTCACAGTGAGCTTTCCTCACCCCAACTCCAGCCAACCCACAACACAACACACTGCCTACAGTGGTGGAAATACTTTTTTTCAGTCTTCTGCAATATTGCAGAATGTGAACATTTTGTTCTGCAATTCGGAAACATTCTGCAAATACACAATTATACAGCCGAGCCTAAACACATGGCATATGCAAAAAGGTAGCAAACATTTTAATGCAATTTAAAAACATCTAAATAAAGACATTACAGAGTTATAATTAGTAGTAAACATAAAAGCTCTTACACAATATTATGCCAACACCATTGAATGCTTATAGTCTGATTTTTTTAGTCTGCAGGTTGCCTAATATAATTTTTCTTCTGCAATATTGAAAATGTCTCTGTAAAGTGCAGACTGCAGTTGGGTTTTTCTAACGTAACACTGACCTGCAACTATCCTGGTGGGGTGGCAAGCCAGCAGCACTGCGATGTGGAAACCTCTTTTGCAGGACTTTTGTGATGTGTTGGAGAAAGCTGCTCGGGTGATGTTGCATCTTTGGGATACAGTTTTCCGTAGGTATTGCAGGAAGGTGAGTTTTTGTGTGGGATGGGATCCGGCGCTGCTAAATCTTCTTGCTGATTGGAGGAGGCTGTTTGACAGCTGCTGCTGGGAGGGTGTGTTTGGGGGTTTAACAGTCTGGGATAGTCTGAAAGTACAATATATTATGCAGAACAAGGTTGAAGCAAATACATGCAATAACTAATGACACTGCTATTAAACATTGAAAGGTTCTACACAGGTTTGTAATTTGTGTAATGTGTTTGTGATATGTTAATTATGTGGTCATGACACCAGTATATGACTTATTGCACTTCTTATATATAACGGAGGGGTCCCTAACTTCGACAGTGCCCTAACTTCAAACAAACTTTTTGCTTTATTATTATGCATAACTGAGACAGCCTTGTTATCGCCAACTCTATGCATATAGCTGTCGTCTCGATGCAAAAGAGACTTACGTATATTTACCCTATTGTTACGTCATAAATGTATTTTGAGGTACAGTAATGGCGGCTCTCCGAACGAGGTCATCGTTACTATTATTGTGAGGGAGAGGAAAAAAACACTACATATTTTGAGTCCCTTTATATAATCAATCAATCAATCAACCAGCCAATCAATCAATCAATCAATCTTCCTTTATATAGTGGGATTAAACATGGGCATTAAATAATGTCTTTGGATTAATAATATATTTTGAGACAAAGCATCACGCCCCCACAAACCTTTACATGTACTGTAACGTTAGTATAACTTTTGTACATTCCATAATATAACTATAAGACTCACCTTCCAAACGTTTGTACCCGCCAAACCCTGCATATCCTGGGCCTGAAAGCGCAACTCTGTCTTCCTAAAACCCATGCCGACAACATTGTACAAATTTTACCCCAATTCTTCCGATTCTTCCCAGATTATTTCAATTTTTACCCCCAACAGATGAGCGTGTGTGAGAGATCTTTTCTCACGCTTCTAAACCGGCAGGTCAGAGGTTAGAGGTGATACAAAGGTCATCCCCAGTGACGCAATAGACTGTTTTGATCAGTGTTCAGGGCGGGACGCAAAAAAACTGCCGAACTTGTTTTGTTTTCCTCCGATTTTCTACCGAAATTGGCCGCCTGACAACTCTACTGACGATGTGAAAGGTGAGCATACGCACCCAAGAGTGGAACTGAGGGGAGGAAAATGCCCAGGAGGTTTTAAATTCTTCAGGAAAGGCGGAATTTGAAGGTTTGTGTTTACTGTTTTGCTGTGCAACGGGGGGGGGGGCATTTGAGAATTTGTGATGATTCATATAAGGTTAATGTTTCTGAAGACGACACAGGATGTCAGTATAGTTTTCATTGATTTTCTGTTTAAAAGACAGGGAAGGTGAACGTTGGAAGAGAAAGTAGGTTTCTACGCAAAAGGTGATGTCCTGAAATTCCTTTGTTCGTTCTGTGCAAGTCAAACTAAAAAGATGAGTCAGCTGACTAAAAAAGAATTCATTTAACACGTCAATGTAGAGCTACCATCTGAATACCTTATACATTTAGGAGAAAGAAACGTCAAATATCATTCAGATTTTGTTGAATTCAATGTGTAAATTGTTAAAGTTGCCATGGACAGGTGTTCAAGTATACCTTTGTTCTGTAAGTGTATTGTGTGGTCATTATGTCACAATGGCCATTGTAATTATAATGTCATTCTGTTCTGGGAAAAGATAATTTCCCACTGTCAATGGATGAGTCACGTCCAAATCATACTACTGTCATGACATTACGTAATCATGATCACTTGCCAGCTGTCATCTGCAAAGAAGGTTATATTCATCATTTTGTATCATTTACTTTACATTTAACAACATGTGACATCTAGGTAGGATTCAAGTACCATGGGAACAGGATGAGACTGGATGTCCAATGTAGCTAGTTTTAGGTTTTAGATGTAGTAAGTCATAAATCCATTTGGAAGAGGATAATCTATTATGCATATACATGTACTAGTAAATGTAAGTTATCATAACAGCTGAATTATGGATTGGTTTGGTGTAAACATAATACTACAACAATCATCATATATGATATATAGATTCGCATATAAGGAGGTCTCCCTAAAACCTTATTTTGCATCAAGTGCCCTGCTATTATGAAATATTATCAGTTATAAATGTATAAGGACATATGTGAGTCTAACTTCAGTCTAGCCTTTTTATGGTCCATGTTTGGTTAGAATCAAACTGGCTTGCAGTTGTTGGTGGTCATGTGATGTACAGGTGCACATGACAGGTGTGCAGGGGTGGAGGTCGGCATAGATCACCCGATACAGCAGGTGGCATCATGCTTTTGACTGTATTTTACATTATCATTTGTATAGCTGAAATTAAAAACATTGACATTTTGTACCAAATTGCTAGGATAAGCCAAGCTTTTTTATCAACATGTATGTAAAATTATAACAAAAAATCTACAAAGTATGAGACAAGGATTATACAGATATCAGCAGATAAATGTGTTCCACAAAATATAACTTGCTTTATATACTAGTATAATATTTTACACCAAACCTATAAGTGATTCAGCTGTTTTATTGGATTGTTTGTGAAGATCTAGAAGCCATCATGGCGCAGCTGGAGACCAGCTACCGACGTCTGGACTCCTTCTATGATGAGGAGATGGACAGTCCACCTAACGAACGGGAACTACTGGTGCATGCTGTGGACAGTAACAAGGGTAGGGAGTTTTACATAGCAGCTACATGTACTAGTACATGTATGTATATTACTAGTATGTATCTATGATGAGGAGATGGACAGTCCACCTAATGAGCGGGAACTTCTGGTAACATTACACACCATGGACAGTATCAAGGGTAGGCTACCTCTGTTTAATAGTGTAACCTATATAAACTATTAGAGACAAGTTCACACTTGCACAGACGTGCACATGAATTTTTGCATCGTGCAATTTTAATGGATTTCTCTAGCTAAATGTCCTCATTTGCCATTTTTCTTCCTTACAATTGCAGCTCATCGTTGGAACCACATAGAAAACTTGGACGACTTCTTCACAAGAATATCCTTTTGTTTTAAAAAATGACGTACACATGTCTATACAAACAGTGTGTGTGCCTGTGTGTGTTTGTGTGTGTGCATGTGAGTGTGTGTGCACATATGTGTGTGTGCGGGTGTGCCTGTGTGTGTGTGTGTGTGTGCGAGCGAGTGTGTATGCATATATATGTGTGTGCATGTGCTTGTGGGTATGTCTATGGCTAAAGGGGTGAAGTCTGCCCCCACAATATTGTGTATCCTTAACCCCCGTGCACGTGTACCAGTACCACCAGCGACACGGGTTCCTCTGTATGATGCTGGCTGAAGTTCTAGAGTTACTGTAAGTACTGCAATTATTACTTATTCAATGTTGCTGTCAATTAAGTACTGTAATTGAGTTAATTAGCTTCAGTCACAAAATTGATAAATTTTGGCAGCAAAGGAGTGTATATTTTTAATAATTTTAGATGCCGTTTTTTCAGAAGACATTTCAGTAACTAGCATTTATAGTAAGTAGCATCCATGAATACTTTCATTAGCTTAGCAAGAGATGTTAGCATGATAACGTTACATTTACAAACCATTTTACTAATCATTGGGCTCATGTCATAACATGTACAAATACTGTACAAAGAAAATTATGTAACACAGATGTTCTGTTCTGAAATGCAAATTTGAGTGCCAGAATTCCAAACAATTTTCTTTACAAATTTCCTAGTGTCCGGATGCAGGTCTATACTAATTATATTACAAACATCTGCTGGTCCCTAATCCATGCTAACTCAGTTTGTGTGTTTTATTTCCAGGCAATTCATCTTCGTCTTGCTTTTCACCACGTTCCTGCTGCAGTGTGTGCATTACGAGGTTCTGTTCGGGGACAAGGTAAATCAATTTGCTACTGTTCAGGTCAAAAACAGCAGTTTGTTAGATCATCTCCAGGCCTCATCAATTTATTTTCTTGGTTCTCTTGGTCCTGATTCTTTTTGCTGAGTTTGAAAAAGAAAAATGTCTACTACTATGTATATCAATCAACACAAAGTAATCCTAATTTGGTGACAACAGTTGAAGAAACCTGAAAGTTCTTATTTTCCTCAGATATTATAATAAATAATTTTCAATTTTTTTGATTCACTTGAATTTGAAAATCCATTGTTTGAAATGTTACATTGTATTTTTCCTCTTATAAATGTATTCACAAAGTGTATGCTGACCTTATTTCCCAGAACCCCCACCCTGACAGAAAGGTGACCCTACCAGAAGCCCTGGTGCCGCTGGACCAATGTGCAAGCAGGTAGGAAAGTCAAAACATGAAAGTCATGTTCCGAAATGGCCATATTTGGCAGATTTTACAATCTAACAGAAAATCAACAAAGCTATAGAAACATTTTTAAGGCTATGTTATTACCAGAAAGTGATAGCAACTGATTGTTAAAAGCTTACAATTTCTTGATAAAAAATCCTATGTTCTTTCAATTACAATGTATTAGGTACTAAGGGTCCAAAAGTTATGAATTCCTGCAGTTGTAATGATTGAATCCAATGTCTATATTTTCTGTCGGATTCTGAAATGTGGTGGCATATCCAATTTTTTGCTACACATGTATCAGTTTCATAGTATTTGCTGCAGAAGCTGGATAATCTAGGTCGTGATACAAAAATGCTTTTTAATTCATGTAGCTTGAATTTTAACTGATATTGACGTCTTGTGAAAATCCTTGTGTTTCAGTTTGGACTCGAGAATCGTGGTGTGTCTGGTTCTGGCTTCCTTCTTCTGGTTTCTTCGCTTCATCAAAGTCGTGTACAACTTCTTCCGCTACTGGGAGATCCGCACCTTCTACACACAGGCTCTCAAGATTTCACACGTAAGGAAGTACAGAACTTTACTCCTCGTATTAGGCTTGAGTTTTAAATCAGGACCTTCTACACACAGGCACTCAAGATCTCACATGTAAGGAGAAGTCAAGGATACAAGGGAGCCTTGATCTTCACTCCTTGTATAAGTCTTTAAAGGAGTACTAACCTCCAGAAGGAAGTGCTATTTTCCGATACATCATGCTGCAATGAATACATAACTAGCCGACTTTTTACATAATTTCGCTTGTACGAGTTGCGCGGCGCATGTTTGTAAAGTGATATTTATACGATTTTCCCCCATGCTGAACCACAATTGATACATCTGGGAGCTCTGGCTTACGCAATACTCATACACTTCAGGTCAACATAAATATTTTTTGGCGAAAATGGTAGGAGACAAGCACACTAACAAGCTGATTATTGAGAAATTACTTGCTTTACTTTGCTTGACCTGTGGCTTGGATATTATAATGTCAGGATGTCGAATACAGTGAGCGTCAGTTTCACGCTGCGTGTTTTGATTTTCTCAACTTATTTGCATGTAAGTATTACTTGAACAGATAATTAGATTACGCCACTTATGGAAAGGATAACTAGATTACGCCGTTTTTTTCATCGTCAATATTTGCGGCATAAATGAGGGGCGATAAGGACACCAAGAAGGGCAATTGTTGGTAAGATACCAAAGAACACAAAACGGTACGAATTTTTCTTATCGCCCCCGAAGTTAGGTCTGTAACGTAACTTTTTGTTTAAAACATAGACACCAATGGGGTAGCGTGGTGTATTCTGGGATAGTTTTGAGGGTATTTGGAGAGTTTGTCCTGGATTCGATGCGTTTTAAGACTTGCGCGTAAAATGGGCATTTAATTGTATACTGTAAAATAATATGCATTTTTCACTTCCAAAAATAAATGCCTGTCGAAATATAGCACCTCCTTCTGGAGGTTAGTACTCCTTTAATTTTAGGCCTATCTAAGGGTGTTGAGGCCTGTAGTAGATCACAAGTCTTGGTACCTTGAAGCTTCAGTGGCAATCAGTGCACAATAATATATTGGCCTCCCCTGCCATTACATGGGGAAAAGTTATGTAGGCTAGGCCAGTATAGTATTGTGCACTGAAGCTTACATAGTCTGGCACCCAGGGTAAAGTCTGGAGAGTCAGACTCAGTGAGCAGCTTTGCTTGTAATCTATGTTTTCGATGAGGACTGCATTATTCTGGGGGACATTGCACTGCAGATCTCTTTAGACTCATTTTTACTAGACACGGTGTATTTCTAAGATCTTTCAATCCCTGTTGCTGCTCCCAGAATGACCTCCCCAACATGACGTGGCACGAGGTGCAGCGCTGCCTCCGACAGGTGCAGGTGGAACAGCAGATGTGCATCCACAAACAGGAACTTACAGAACTCGGTGAGCGTCGTATCCAGAAACATGCTTTATATCCAGCATGGTATCCAGTATCCAGAACCGTGGCTGTGGCAATTCTACATTCTATCTAGTCCTGTGCCTTAACCTAACCCTAACTCATTCAGGCTAGAGCAAGCACGGTTCTGGATAGAATAAGTCCACTTTTATTACAGATCAGGCAATTGTTGAGATTTGCAGCATCCTCAAGCAAGAACTGACAAAATTGGGTCAGTCCTCATAACTGTAAAACTCCCAATCGATCATTAGCAAAATTTTGTACATGTACGTCAAGTAGGGGTTGGATAAGGCTACTGTATATTTGTACCTGTAACAGTTATGTGTTGTGCCTTATAATTTTTTAAAAAGATTGGTCAAAATAGCTTGGTCGACAATGACAGAAAAGTGAAAATAATACTCTGTTGCAGACATCTACCACAGAATCCTGCGGTTCAAGAACTACACAGTTGCCATGGTGAACAAGTCACTGCTGCCGCTCAAGTTCCAGCTGCCAGGCATGGGGGAACTGTGAGTGTGGCCTGTCCAGATATTTACATACATTTTGATATGGTTGAGCGCATGATTAATGACACATGTGTACTACCACAATACAGAGATTTTTGTAGCTAGCTGTAGTGTTACACAATCTCTCGCTGTCAGAGGATGAATGGGCCTTTCCCAAGAGTTCGTGGCCATACACAAGTTTTACAGGATCAAGGGAACCATTTACTTTCCCAAAACTACAATGTACCAATAAGAGCTCAGGATTCTTTATCACTAATGAAAATTAGGCCAATAGGAGCTCAGGATTCTCTGTCAGTATGAAGACCATTCAACACAGCCTCAAGCGTTTTGTATCTTGAAGCTTCAGTATGCTGCGTTATGACACTTACCATTCATAATCCTTATACCTTTGCAGAGTTTTCCTGACGAATGGCTTGAAGTACAACTTGGAAATGATTCTATTTTGTAAGTAAATGTCTCTCACTCAAACAATCAAAAGCTAGCTCATAGAAGTGTGAACTTCAAGTAAAGTCATTGCACTTGTATTTTTTCTAATTTGCTGTAATATAATGATGAACTGATTGATAATGATATATTTTTAATGGCCTTGTGTATTTTTCTATCCCAGGGGGCCCATGGTCTCCGTTTGCCAACAACTGGCACCTGAAAGAAGACTACAAGAAAAGCAGCAAGAGACTGGAGCTGGCAAACAAGTAAGGAAGTCGATAAATGCTCCTTAAACATAATTTCGCAACACAATTAGCTATTGTTGGTGATTTGTATCCCTTGAACTGAAGCTCTGTCAAAATTAAAGGAAATGTTCATAAAACCGATTGATTGATTGATCGATTGATTGATTGATTGATGTATTGACAGGTTGTCCCGACACATCCTGTGGGTGGGTGTAGCGAACCTGCTGCTGTGTCCCTTCATCCTGATGTGGCAGATCCTGTACTGATTGATTGATTGATTGATTGATTGATTGATTGATGTATTGACAGGTTATCCCGACACATCCTGTGGGTGGGAGTAGCGAACCTGCTGCTGTGTCCCTTCATCCTGATGTGGCAGATCCTGTACTGATTGATTGATTGATTGATTGATTGATTGATTGATTGATTGACAGGTTGTCCCGACACATCCTGTGGGTGGGAGTAGCGAACCTGCTGCTCTGTCCCTTCATCCTGATGTGGCAGATCCTGTACTCATTCTTCACCTACGCTGAGGTGCTGAAACGCCAGCCGGGCAGCCTCGGAGCTCGCAAATGGTACATCTGTGTTTGTACACTCAGAGTTCTCAGTTTGTACATGTAGACTTTTAAAAGTTGATTCCAACAACTTGTACAGTACAATATTAGGTTGTATGTATTTGATGTTTCTCTTTTTTTTTTGGTTTACATGTTTGTTGTTTACCTCTGACATTATGTACAACTTTTTTCTGCAGGTCCCTCTATGGACGCCTCTATCTTCGCCATTTCAATGAGCTCGATCATGAGCTTAATGCAAGGTAGGTAAAACTGAAGGCTCTGTAGATTGTTGGAAGACACAACTACTAGTAGTGTTACATAATATAACTATGTAGAATTAAGTTTTGACATATCTTTTAAGATATTCATGTATGACAGGAAATTTTGAAGAGTTTCAGCCCCTATTGGTACAAACATTTACACTTAAAAATTGTATTCTTCAAACTTCTAACTGATTGTTATTTATTTTCAGATTAACCCGAGCATACAAGCCTGCAGAGAAATACATGAGCTCCTTCATATCGCATGTCATGACTCTTATAGCAAGGTACGGAATACTTTCAGAGTAGATTTGAATAGTTTAGCAATCACAATAAATATTTAGAAGGTAGGATCTGCTTGCTTTTATATTGGAACAGATTGTACTCATGTTAGCTATTCTGAGTGTTATCTTGAATAAAAAATTCTCTGCATATTTCATGCTATAGGACTATCTGCACGCCAAGACATGCTTTCAGTTACTTACAGCAAAAGTTAGGATAGAGACAGTTATAACTACTACTAACTAAAAAAGTGAATGGTAAAAAAGATTTTTAGAGATCAATCTACACTTGATATTACACATAATACATGTATTACTTCTCTCCTCAGACATGTGGCATTCCTGGCGGGTGCTATCTTTGCCGTGTTGGTGGTTCTGACTATCTATGATGAGGATGTCCTGACAATCGAACATGTCCTGACTATCACCACTCTCATGGGTAAGTACAGGTACACATTTGTTAAAAAACACTGTCTTATAACTTTGAATCAGGAAGACACTTCAGAAATTTATTTTAAAGTCAAATATTTTGGGAATGATTTTTGATTCTAAGTTGTTGTGTAGTGAAAATTGTTCAATATTAAATGTGATACCACAAGTACTAGTTCATGTCATTGTTTTACAACCATTTTCCATCTCCCCACAGGTGTCCTTGTGGCTGGGTGTCGGGCCCTGATACCAGACGAGGTGAGCAATTAAAAGTAGATAGAAGAAATCTTGAAAGAGTTGATTCCATTTCTAAAGAAATAAAATTCTAGAACATGGTATCCTGCCCAAAAGTATGATTGTTGGATCAAGAATTTTGAATAATAATACATTGTATTTTACTTCAGTATATGTGTTCTAGAACATTTTTCCAGAACATCTAGTTTTGTCTAGAACCTAAAAAGAATGTGATTCCAGTACTAAAACCAGTTTTAGATGGAGATACAGAAATCATTTGTTCATAACATTTCCCTGTACTTTGTGTTGCAGAACATGGTGTTCTGCCCTGAGCAGCTGATGGTGTGCATCCTGGCACAGATTCACTACATGCCTGACCGCTGGAAGGGACAGGCTCACACCTACAGGGTCAGGGACGAGTTCTCACAGCTCTTCCAGTACAAGGCGGTGAGTTTAACTTATCATGTATTCATCATTCGGTAACAGATTGGTACCATTCATATCAATATCAATAATAGGAAATACAAAAATTGTCCTAAATATTACAACCATTTCCAATTAATGTCAAGAGGCTGTGAGACTGCCTTTGCCTTTACCTTTAGGGCCTGTCCTTGGTGCTGAATTTCTTCTTGTACTTCATCTTTTTTTTTCAGGTGTTCCTCCTTGAGGAGTTGCTGAGTCCGATCATCACTCCCTCATCCTCATCTTCTCTCGCTGTTCTGTAGAACATGGTGAGACTGTTCCAGAACTATTGGATAATAGTTTGACCAGTATTTTCTCCATCCTTCCTACCCAGGTGTTCCTCCTTGAAGAGTTGCTCAGCTGCATCATCACACCCCTCATCCTTATCCTCTCTCAAAAAGACTGGAGCTGCCTTTACCTTTAGCTAAAGGTCCTGACCTTGGTGCTGAATTTCTACTTGTACTTTACCATTTTTCTAAGTAGCATCTTCCTCCATCCCCAGGTGTTCCTACTAGAAGAGTTACTCAGTCCGATCATCACCCCCCTGATCCTGATCTTCTCTCTGCGCTCCAAGGCGCTTGACATCGTCGACTTCTTCAGGAACTTTACTGTAGACGTGGTCGGGGTCGGCGACGTCTGCTCATTCGCTCAGATGGACATCAAACGCCATGGAAACCCACAGGTGAGTTACTCACTCACTATCGTCTATTGTTCTGCATCATCCCACCATTTGCCTCTGTCTTGTGGGTCGATGTTCTGCAGGTTATGTTGTCCATCCATCTCTTCCTTGGGCACTCTTGTGGCTTTTGGCTTTCCACATTCGTTGACTGTTGAAATTACTTCTGGGTTTGAGAGGATTGTTTTCAGTGGCAACTTGAGTGAGTTAAACTGGATATACTTGATAGGGCTATGTTGAGTGAAATATGTTTTAGCTTGATCCTGGCTTATATAGGTTGATAGATAATGATTTCCAAATAGTATTAGAGTTGAGAAAAAGACCTTGTTTTTCGCGGTGGACAGGAGAGAAACAGCAGACAGACGTGTCTCAGTACCACCAGGCTGTCCCTCATGAACTTCACTCTCACTAACCTTGAACTTCACTCTCACTAACCTTGAACTTGTTTCCCCAGTGGACCGGAGAGAAACAGCAGACAGACGTGTCCCAGTACCACCAGGCTGTTCCTCCTGCACTTCACTCTCACTAACCTTGAACTTCACTCTCACTAACCTTGAACTTGTTTCCCCAGTGGACAGGAGAGAAACAGCAGACAGACGTGTCCCAGTACCACCAGGCCGAGGATGGCAAGACGGAGCTGTCCCTCATGCACTTCACGCTCACTAACCCCACCTGGCAGCCGCCCCGGCACTGCAACAAGTTCATCAACCACCTCAAGGAACAAGGTATTATCATAGCCAGAACCGTACTTGATCCAGAACCGTGCTCATGCATGCTTCTGGATAGTCCAAGCATATCCAGAACCTTGCTCAGACACATTTCTGGATAGTCCAAGGGTATCCAGAATTGTGCCTGGGCAAATCTACATTTAATTTAGTGGATACTCGAGACTAACCAGAACCGTGCACACGTGCCTGATCCTAACTGTGCATAGACAGTTTTGGATACAATAGATACACTGATGGGCTGCATGGTATTGCAGTGTCACAAATTTTTCTAGAGGGAAAATGATATATTAAACAATAAGCATGTGTTTTTTTTGTGTATTTGGTATAGGGTTTAGTTTAGTTGAAATGCTGCATCAAAGAAGATTTTGCCGCTGTATTTTTTATTGAATTGTTTTTGTGTTGTGTTTTTCCAGCCCACAAAGATGTAAACATGCTGAACAGTGCAGTCATGGTGGACAACCCGTTCTTCCAGTCACTACAGTCTCTGTCATCAGCAGGGGTGAGGCTGAACTCTACTATTCTATTTTAATCAGGTTATTAGCATACATACTACATTCATATAATACTACATGACACACAGGAAAATGACAAGATACATGTGTGCTGCCAATTATACAATTATCATGTGAAAGACAACTTTACGAAGTTATCACATAATTATTTGAAGATATCTGTTTTAAAATATGAGTATTCCCCCCCCCCCAGTACCCGAGTATGATGACGAGTCTGATGGTGGGTAGGCTGGGTCCAGACGCCACGCTGGTCCCACCACGTGACCCTGGTACCGGCACGGAGCCCTCGCAGCCTGGCGTAGCTCTCCCCGGTACAACCGCGCCGGGGCGGTATGGACTGGTCAGAGGGGACATCAGCAGTGTGGAGGGGCCCATTCAGGCTCCAAATACTGGGCTGCTGGGCAGGTAAGATGATAGTTATTGTTTAAAGGTAAAGCTTTAGTTTTAACACAAGGGCGGCACTCACCCTGGTACAATCACGCCTGGGCGGTACGGGCTGGTCTGAGGCTCAGTGTAGAGGGGCCAATTCAGGCTCCCAACACTGGATTACTGGGGAGGTAAGGCTGTAATAACTGTTATATGGCTGTTAATGTCAATAATTCCACCAGGTACATTGATCACTGAAGTTTTGATGCCAATTCTATGTTGGTTATAGAATTAGATGCCAGGAAGGAGGTTGAAAAATCACTGCTTTCTCTCCTGTATGGCTTAAGTGTATCAAGGATAATTTTTAGTAGGTCTTTTTAAAGGCAACCATTACTTTTTAAATGTGGCTGTCTCAGGGTAACTGGCAGAATATGTCATTATTATATACCTTACAGTTCCAGCATGGCCCCCCGAGGTACGTCCAGTATCAGCCACACCCTCCCCCCCACCCCAGAACCAGTCAGTCTACAGGAGACGATGGCTCCTACAGAACTCACATAAATATTAAATGTCATTATTATGTACCTTACAGTTCTACCATGGCCCCACGGGGTACGGCCAGTATAAGTCACACCCTCCCCCCCACCCCCGAACCAGTCAGTCTACAGGAGACGATGGCTCCCACAGAACTCATGGCTGCAGAGATGAGCTTCAGCGCCCTGTACATGCACCAGGTACCACTCTTTATAGCATGTTCACATTTCATTGTAAGTCATCGTACGGTTTTGAGGTAAACTTTTAAAGCAGGCTGTGGCAGAGCCAACTGTACATGCACATGCACCAGGTAGGATAGATTTTGGTGCAATGGCCTGATAGATATATGCTTGCATCCAAGGTACATGAGAGTTGAAGAAAAATGTAGATTTCCTTTGGAATCCATAGCCCAGTTCTTACATTCATGCTTTCAGCACCAAGGACAGGTCCATCTCCAAACATTGTTATGCCTTGAATTCACCTGTGTTCACATTTCAAGGACATGCTCTGACTTTTTTATGTAAGGAAAAAATATAATATTGCTTCTCCCATGATGTTTTGAGACCCCTAAGAAGCTATACAAAAGAAAATTGTTACACAAAGCAAATTTATTTTGAAACTGTCAGACATTTCAACTAGCAAAGACTTTTTGTCAGTGACTTATTACCTGGATGTCTAACATTCATTGACATATTTAACAAACTTTCTACTGTCTAATTGTGAATTTCAAGATACTTTAATGTTGATATGGTTTGCGCTTTCCCAGCTCCACCAGACCCAGACCCACCATGACCACCAGGACCAGGAGGCTCAGAGGGCCTGGAGACAGCCGCTGCCCCCGGCTTTCTATGGTACAACCATGCCGGCCAACCAGCAAAGGTACACAGGAAAGTCTGTCAACTAGCTCTATCAGTTCCTCTTAAGTTTTAACTGAAAAAGAGTGATGGATATCTATCGAAATATCCGAAAGTAATCTCTGTAATATTTTTTTCAGTAGTGGAGTTTTAAACGGGCAACTGCATATTTAATAAGTGATTCGTCAAACTCAAAATGCTGATTTATTCATATACTAGTACATGTAGGTCAATTCATTTGTATCCAATTATTTGTATTATATAGTAACTGTTGTAGAAGACCTTACAAAATCCGGTGTACTTTTGTTGTGCCAATAAAGATTATTGGTATAACTACATGTAGTGGTATTCACACACTGGGTAAACCTTTCAATGTCTTATAAATGTCATGTCCAGACCCAGTCCGGGTAGTGTAGAAGACAGTAGGACATCAGAGCCAGGCCAGTGGCACAGTGTTGGCTCCACAACCATGCCTGGCATCGACGAAGCTCCATCTGAGGAAACTGACACACTCAGGTGAGGATGTCTGACAAGTACGCTTTTCCACTCACAGTCATTGTACATATAGGTCTTTGTACAATCATATTCTAGCAGACTGCGACAGAACCAACCACCAAGGACCTAGGACAGCCCTACCGTAACAAGAAGCTGAATTTTTGCAGGACACTTGCAAGCACGACTATCCCAATGATGCATTCAGTTTGTGGTTGTATGGCAGTCCTACAATATGTAACAGGCCATGGATGAATACAAATTTCTTGACAATGGGTAGGGGGTTTGTAACAATTGATTATAGAATGAAATCCTACTATACATGTATATTACGTCAGAATGGTAAAGCAATGTATGACATTTATTTGTGAGTATACAACATGCAAGAACAAAAACAGCTTTCTTTGCTCATATGCGTTGAATAATATGGACAACTTCCATTGTTTTTAGCTATTCTCCACCCAATGTGTGACATGCAAGTCAACTCAACAGCAACAAGAGACGAGAGAGACCCAACATGCGGCAACTATTGTAGAGGCCAACATTGCAACAGATACAGTCATTTTATGTGATGTGCCCAAATCATGGCGACAAAATAAGTTAATTTTCAACCTGCCAAGTCTTGTTCCCATGGAAACAGCAGATCTAAGTATGTGGATCGTCATTTTGTCATCCTGTTGCCAATTGGACAACATTTGAAATCTAGTGGCCAATCGGAGCAATCCTTTCATCTCCCATCATGTTTGGTTTTGGTACGCAGTCTCTGATTGGTGGAAAATATGATTATTGTATTTTAATCAGAGGACTGCTGTACAAAATTAGTGAGTTGCCATGGCAACCATTGTACAAAATAATGACAAAAAAACACCAAGGGCTGCTGGATGCACAATCCGCCGCAGGAAACCATAAAAACATCGTAATTTGCCATGTTTACCTCTCGTTGTTTACAATGTGGTAGACCAGGTCACTTTTAGTGTTGGAAAGGCAAAAAACAAACTAAGAATCGCAAGTTAAAGATCTTCATAATGATACTTCACAACAGAAATAACCATAATATGCTAATCTCCAAGCAGATCTTTCAGTGGCAAGACAGTATCCATTGACCAGAGGAGTGTCCATTGTTGGGAAATGGATACAGGATGGCCAATGGATATGGTCTTTTGCCACCCAACCGAAAGATCTGCTTGGAGATTATAATATGCAGGGACACAGATTGCTGTCCCAAATAATATCGAACTTCAAATTCACAGTTTGTATCAGACTGAAATTTACATGTAAAACTTCCAGCTTCCAACTCACGATAAAGACTTTTCATCTTAGAAGTGACTTGTGTTTGAAGAACTGTTGTGAATGTGTTTTTGTCTGATGTATTAAAAATCAGGGATCCTGTCTTGCTCTTACTGTAACAAAAGGACATTGTTCAAAGTACATTGTAGCAGGTATACGTAGTCAAGATAGACAGTAGAAAATAGTCTAGCTTTTGTACACATTGTATTGTAGGTATCTTGATAGTGGAGTGTGTGATCTATACTGTATGCATGGCACAGATTTCTGTCGATTGCAAATGAACCGATTTTCTTTTGTTCCGAAGTTACAATGTAGAATCAGTTACTTGTACCGAGATTTTATTGGGGGAAATGTAATGAAGATTATGGTTGTGATCTATACCATAATTGGCATGGAAGAGCGAACATGTGTGTGTATCGGTGAAAAACAGTAAACCTATGGCCAACATTGGAAGGTTTTCTTTTGTTATGTACTAGTCGAGTACTTCAAGGCTAGAATCTGTTACTTGTACCAAGATTGTATGCATTTTTATCAGGTATACTTGAGATTGGAAGTAAACATCGTATATCATGATGGCCATTACTGGAAAGTTAAAAGTGTGTGTAAATACTTAATACTAGTAACTGTTGTGTTTTACAGATCAAGATATAGATTATACACTATATATAATATGGGGGAGATTTTTGTAGCTCCCCTATAAAGTGAAATTTCTTAGTTCTTGAGTCTTAAATGCCATTGGGCACCTTAAAACCTACTTGCAGCAAAAGAAACATGTTGTTTACAAAGTCATGTATAAGGTGATATAATTACAGTTGGTGGATTGTGAAAGTGTCCATTTTGTGAAGCGAGCCTAACCACAAGTTTGGACACCCAAACATGTAAAGATATGATGATTAGACAATACATTATTGGTGTGACTGGTGTATTATGTATTGGTCATTGTAAATTATACAGTACTGTAACGGTAACATGAAAACATAATAATCATAATTATGTTGCTATATTAAATATTTGCAGACGTGTGGTATACATACAAATGTACATGCAAGTACAGTCTACAGTTTACATATTTAGTAGTTTTATTTAATTATACTAAGTCTTTCGTACATTCAGTAATATATGAAGAAATATGAAGTTGCTGCTGGCTATACTAAACTTGAAGATATAATTTCTAACCATACATGTAGGTACAAACATGTGTAATTGGGGGCTGTGGTAAAGGTTGGCTTTTTTTGGATAAGTTTCCAAATTTTATTCTGACTTCAACTTAATAACTTTGTTGAACCTACGTTGATTTTAATATCTGCTTGCAACTATCAGATATGATAGTGTAGTCTTCCTTAAAGTTTGCACATACCAGTAATTTGATAACTATTAATTTATAACAATGATCAAAACACCCTGTTTGATAGTTCCTAAAAGCTGATTCATGTTTTCAACTGTGCATGGCGTAAGGTTACAGAAGACAGCCCCTATCTTGTCTACACCATGCTTTATACATGCCTAGACAATTTATGTCTCAGTTGCCTGCAACTTTGGCATATGCAACTTCACAATGCGTCACACTGCACATGTACAGTTCAAACATTGAACCAACTTATTCCATGAGTATTCTAGAACACACTAGAATGAGCTGATCAATGCTCTTGTGACCAGCATTTAAAAGCCATAACTTGCCTAAATAATTAGACTCTTTCTACACAACCAAAGTTGTTTGTGTAAAAAGAGTGACTCTCTTTGTTCAGTGACTTACCAACCTGATGGAACTATTCAGGGGCATAACTTGCCTCTTTTCAATAATATTCAGGGCATCTTAAATCTTTTGTTATTATGTGCATGGTGTGCTTTCTCTTTTCATTGTTGATCTGATTTATCTTTCCCTGCTAGTATGCTGAGTTGTTTTATCCTTTGATTAAAGCTACTTACATACCAGTGAATCATGTTGTGGTGTGGTCATTGATGGTCAATCTGAAGCCCCTGTTACTTATTGTTTGTTTGTTTGTTTATTTCACCAGGGGAAAACATCACCTACTGGCATTTTTCAATGTGCCTTGGGGG